GCAACTGGGGTTCAAGGGAAAGAGACATGCTAAGAGCAGCTGCAGCCTGCAGACACCGCCAGAAAACACGACACCTTTGGTTGCCTTCTTTGGCCAGATGTGTGATTCTGTGGCATGTCCCAGGACCAGACTGAACCTAAGTCCGATTCATAGAAACATATTGGTAGGTCATTGGACCAGAGCTCACGGAGCAGGCGGCCTCAGGGTGAGGCTCTCCTAACTGCTGACACTAACAGGCCTGTGCCGGTCGCACCAGGAAACCGCTTCCAGGGTGACCTCCAGGCCTCACCCAGCCCCCGGGCTGGACTGACACTATCCGAGTTGGGGGTGGGGATCCTTTCAGGCTGTTGGTTTTTTCCTAAACCTTTAATTTTTTTAATAGACGTCTTATATATATATATACATACATATATATATACACATATATATATATATTGTGGTGGGGTGGGTTAGGGCAGAGGATCAGTAACTCAAGTAATTCTTCCCTGCGTCAGCGCCAGCCAAGGGTCCTCCAGGCAGATGTGGAGAAGCACTTTTTTTAAATAGGAGGGTTTCACGGTTGCAGTTGAAACCACCTCGTCTCGTTCAACTATACGACACACAGGTTTTTGGTTTTGGCATTATTCACGTTTCTGATCAATTCTATGCAATTCTCATGGTTCCTGTTGTTTTTTAGTGTTAGCGGCCAAAATGACTTTACAGGACTGGGCTGGGTGACTGACTGTGAGACTGGATTAATCGTAACGTGGACAAATCCTCCTTTCTTCGATGTGTCATGTGTGTATGTGTGTATATATGTATATAGCACCTTTTCCCGACGCCCCAGATAACAGTGTTTAAACCCCAGACGAGGACTGGTCTGCACAGCTTACTTCTGTGGTTGTTGGGGCACTTGATCTCACTCAAGGTTTGCTGGGCTCTGCTCCCCTCCCTGCCACTGGAAGCGCTGCGCAGAGCTCCCTCACTTCCAGACTCCAGGCATTTTGCACAACAGCTCGTGTGAGCGAGACGGACCCTGAGCTGTGTGTGTGTGTACACGTGTGGGATGCACACGTCAGCATCACCCTGCTGGCCCGTGTCCCTGCCTGCCAGGCCCTCCCTGCAGTGCGGCCGGCTGCAAACCTCGCTGTTCACATGGGCTGCAAGTTCTCACTTCTAAACTATGGAATGCAGGTTTTAGCACCTTTTTTTAAAAAAAGATTTTTAATTTATATAGTGATGTGCTGACAGGCTGTCTTGCAGATGGTTCTTTGTCGTCTTCGTGTGATGTGGAGGTAGCTGGTTACAGGAGGCGCTGGTTTCTATGTAGACACTTGGGTTGTGTTGTATCTTTCTCTGTTGGCTGTACTGACACTTGCTGAAGTCATCTGTGATGACGAGGAGGTTAACAAGTGGCAACCCCTACTCCGTTCACCGTCCCGCCCCCGTCCCACTTTCTGTGTCTTGTTTAGTTACCAAAACAGCTATAAGCCCCTCTAAAACTAGGTGCGTGGACATTGTGTTAGGGTAGTTACAGTGTGTTAACTTTATGAATTGAAATATAAACCAGTAAAATTGTATTACTATTTCTTCTGTTGGTTTTATTTTAACAGCATATTCATTAAATATTTTGGTACAAACAGCACTGCTTTGTAAAAACCAGTTCTATCATTACATGCTCCTGCCTCCCCACCCCCAGCAGTCAGGAGAGACCACCCTCAGTGCTGCCACATACAGCGTGTGAGCCTCAGGCAGCTCCTCCATTCAGGCCCTTTGCACACAGCGGAGGGGAGACAGGTCCGTGGGATGAGAAGCCAGGCTGTCCCCTGGGAGGCTGGTGCCTGCACCTTCATCGGGAGCTCCGCAGTCACAGCCACGGGTGAGGCACTGTTTGTTTGAGGCTTAGGTTTAGGGAAATCCTAAGGGTGTAGTTAAGCCTTAAAAGGCAAAAGCATCTCACCAGACTGAGATGGGAGCGGGAATTCCCTCCCAAAATGTGAATGTGCTGGTGAAATAAGGGAAGAGCAGAAACGCAGGTGGAGTGCCCGGGGTCCCGGCATGCTCTGCTAAAACCTTCACAAGTGGTGGCATGGACAGAGACGTTGAGAAAGTTCCTTTCTGTTCACTGGTGTCTCCCACACAAACCCTTGCAGTGGGATGAGGCTCCCAAATCCTCTGCTGTCCTTACCACTTCGTCCCCTTCTCTGCAGCAGGAAGAAGAGCAGTGCTCCCCAACCCCATGGGGTCTGCCCCACTCTGCCTGCCCTGCCTGCCCTCCAGGACCCCAGCTACGCCCGGCCTTTGCATAGAAGTGGGTTGAGATGCAGAAGGGAAAGTGGTGAGTGAGCCCCCCTGAAGCTGGGCAAATGCCGAGCGAGGGGCCTGGGCCATGCCAAAGGCTCCAGAGCACCGTGGGGATCTTTTTGCCACTCCCAGGCTGGTGGTCTGTCTCTGGGATCCACATTCTGGCCAGCCAGGGCAAGAGCCCAGGAGGGCAGCCTCTTCTAGGCATTGCTACTCCCTGGATTCCCCGTGCTTAGGAATTAGGGATGAGGCCGCAGTCCTCGCCACTGCGGCAGTGCCCAGCCCCAGCAGCGGGGCCCACGGGCCTCCCGTGGCTCAGGCGGGTCCTGTTCCCGGGGAGGTCCCCTAGTTATACTGAGCCCCAGGTTAAGAATAATTGCACCTGTACACTAAGTGCTGTAGCAGGTGCATGGGATCCTGCAGGAACAAGGAGGGTTGTGTATTGGCAAGGACACAGTTTCCTGCCCTGACAGCTGGATTCTGAAGCAGAGACAGTGTTTCGGTGGAAGGAACAGTAGTTCGCATTGTAGTCAGTTGAGGCAGCGCGTTGGGAGGTGAGACGGGGCCAGTAGGTAAGGTCAGGGCCATCCAGGCCAAGGCTTTTGAAGGGGGACCACTGGAGAGGTTTTAAGCCAACTTCCTTTAAAAAAATCTTTGTAAGTTGCCTGTCAGTCCTTCAGGAGGAAACAGAAGAAATTTAGTCTGAAAAGAGGTGACAGGTTAGGGAAGCCAGATGCGAGAAAAATTCCTGGAGAGTTGAAACTTGTGGAGAGAAAGGGGAGGGAACACCAGACAGATAGAGTGAGTTCCAGTGTGTGGATTTGAGCTCACCTGGGAGATACAGGCTGGAGAGGTCCAGGACCCACACACTCAGGAACTGCGTGGGCCCGCCCACTAGATGTCAGCAGCACAGCCCCCACCGCCAGTTGTCACCGCCAGAATGTCTCCAGTTACACCAGGTGTTCCTGGGGTGGAGCTCAGGGGCAGGAATGCTCCTGGTTCAGAACCCCTACTTGGGCTCAGGAGCTGGAGGGTGGGGGACACTGTGCAGGGGTGTCCAGGTTAAGCAAGGAAGGAAGGTTAGAAACTGCCACTCGGGGGGAAGAGAGGACACGGAGCTGGGAGTAGGCTGTGGACTCCCAGAGGACAGCGAGCTCTGCCTTGGGGTGAGGGGGAGACCGGAAAGGCTCATTGGATTGGGCGACTGGGAAATCGCTGGTGCTCGGGGCGGGGTGCAATGTGCTGACAGGTGGGAGGGGAGGAAGTGGAGAAGCAAGTGTAGATTTTAAAAAGCCTGGCTGTGAAGGGAAGTGGGGGATGGCGGGTGGTTGGTGGCAAGAACGTAGGGTGTCGTGCTGGGAAACTCGGATCCTGGTTCTGACCTTGGCCACCCTTCTTCGACTGCTCTCAGGCCTGTGCACAGGGTAAGTGAAAGCACATGACAGGCAGAGGGGACCCCTCTCAGGCTCTGGTGAGCCCTAGCGGCTCTGAGGCCTTGCTGAACTCAGGAGGGAGGTGGCAGCTCAGAGGGCAAGACAAGCAGCACCTGCCATAAAGGCTCCCAGGAGGGCGGCTGCCTGGAGTGCTGACTTCTGACCAGGCCCCAGCAGCAGGGAGGGCGGGGCACTCCCGGCTCCAAACTTGGCCAACAGCTGTGAAAACCAGAGGCTACACCAGGGGAGTTGCTGGGTCTCTGGGAGCTCATGTTGTCATCTGATGAATGTGTGAAGTAGTCACTTGCTCAAGAGATGGCCTGATGCGGACATTGAGATTCAAATTCAGATTCGCGGACTGGGGGTGTGGAGAGGGTCAGAGACGAGGACGAAGTCAGATGTGGGCTCAGGACCACAGGATGGCTGAGACCCGCTCTCCCCGTCTTGCAGGTGGAGAAACGGGGCCCGTAGAGAAGGTCCTGGCCCCAGCAGCAAGGCCAGGCTGTCCACCCACGGCTCCACCTCCCCACCCAGCTCCTCGTCTGTGCAAGGGGTTGCCGAGCTCCCGTTAAGCTCTGCTCCTCTCACGTGTTCTCCCTCCAGCTGTCAGACCACCCCTCTGAGTTGGGGTGTTGTTGACAGGTGTACAACATCCTGTAAGGGTGAAAGGTTCACCTGTGATTTCAGCCTTTTCTACCACGTCCATCTTCATTTTCAGGGTCCAAGCATCAGGAAGTTTGGCTCCCCCTCAAGCCCACAAAGCGGGCGTGAGGGTGGGGTCACAGGGTCATCGGTACTGGCATTGTTGTAAGTCCAAATTCATGGTGTGCCAGGGAGAAGGCGGGCCCTGAGTTACAAAACGAAGCAAACACACCCAGTGCCTTTGTCGACACAGCTCTCGGCTGAAGCTCGGGGAGGGACAGCTTCAGCTTTGCTTTCAAACTGCTGGTGCCGTTTAGAAGCTTCGCTCTCAGGCACGTCCCTTTCTCTCTGAGCCTTAGTGTGCTGAGCGCTAAGGCCTGGGTGGTGCCAATCCTAAGGAACGGGTGAGAGGATGCGGGGGGTGGGGGTGAAAAGCACCTGGTTGGTTCTGAAGTTCAAGATTCAGGGCCCATAGCATAGAGGGCCGTGAACAGGAAGTCAGCACCTGCCCCTCACACCGTTGCCTGAAGGGAGGATCCTGCCACATGGACTGAGCCGTTGAGTGCTAAGTGCCAGGAAAGTGGTCGTGCACTTGACCCTTTTTATCAATCAGCACCTTCATTTAACCAGAGAAGGTCCTGCTTAAGACAGAAGCTTTTATTTTTATTCATCCAAGTGGGGGAAACGCAACACGTCAGGTCAGCACAGACAGTCGGCAGCAGCCAGATGGGGCCAGTCTAGGGCAGAGTCCACTGTGGTCAGTGCGAAGGCGCTGCCTGTGGGGGTCGGGTGGCAGAGTCCCTGTGCAGCAAGGCCGGGCATCTCTGGGCGAGGCACTGGTGACAGTCCACACACGCAGGCTGCTGCTTCAGAGTCCGACACGCCGCTACCCCGAGGGGAAGGGCAATCCATGGTGCTCGCGGTTTCCAGCGTTTGTTTAACATAGTACAACATAGTACACAACAAAGTTATTGCCGAGGACTTTGCACTGCAAATTATACTATTTACACTTGCGTATTCAGAAAAAAAAACCAGTAAATAGATAGGTATTTTAAATTTCTAAAAACTACCTGGGCCACCACCAGACCAGAGTGAGAGCGCTACAGCTGAGAGTGCACTGGCTGGGGTGTGGGAGCTGTGCAGCAGGGGACCACTAGTCTTCTCCATGCCTCCGGCACCCCCGACCGCCGGGTCTGAGCAAGGCCGCCTTCCTCCGGGAGGGAAGCCCCACGCTAGGCTGGCTGCCACCCTCCCACAGAGCTGTCTGTTCGTGGAGTGGGTGAGAAGCAAGTCCTACAGGCCCCTCTCCAGGAAGACTATGCAGCAGGGAGACCAGGATGCATAGGCTGGGGGGCTAACAGAGGAGACAAGCCCCAGGCCAGCCCCTTTCCCAGCGCACCTTGTTCCTCAATGTGCCCTCGCCCTAATGAGGACAGCCTCAGGAGACCTGCCTTCTGAGGATGCAGCTGGACCCCGACTAGCCACTTACACAGACCAAAGGTTCAGCACACCAGGCCGGCAGGAGGGTCCCTGGTGAAAGGCCTGAGTTCAAAGATACTTCGGGAGAAAACAGGGTGAACACTGCTAAGGGCTGAAGGGCGTGAAGTGTCTGCCATGGGAGGTGGCTCCTGACTCAGAAGACAATGAGGGACGAAGATGCCCACCTGGACCAAGCATTCACTGAGATGCCCCGAGTTGCTGGAGGGGAAGTCAGTCTGGAGAACGGAGACAGCAGAGCCACCTGTGATTCCTGGGAGATGCCCTGTGATGCCTGCGATTTGGCTCCCCAGCTGTATTCTAAAGAACAAGTCCTTCTGCCCAGGAAGTCAGCAATGAACAGGAGCTAAGCCACCTCCCCCAGAGCCATGGCAGGGCCCATAGCTGAGAAACAGCAAGGGAACAAGCAATGTTCAGTGTCACCTCTACAAAGTAGGGGTGCACTGGGAGCCCCGCCTGACGGTATAGGGCTGCTGCATGAGGTGCCTTTAGGGTAAGGGACAGGACCTGTCCAGTGGCAGCACGGGAGGCACTGAGGGTGTCCCGAGGAGGCCGGGGGAGCACCACGAGCAGACCTGGATCCCTGTGTCTCGCCACTGACCCACCAACCACATTCCTCAAGCCGCAGGGGTGCAGCAGGATCCCCTTTCTTGAGGAGGACAGGAGCAGCGCTCAGCCCAAAGAGAGGCAAAGAGGCCGGACACTTGAATGCAACTTTTCTAAATTGAATTCCCTGTGGAGAGGGAATGTTTTCATGGTGTCTTTGCTATCTAAAACTCCCTTCCATGAACAAAAAGGAAAAGAACCTGACTTACTGGAGCAGCAGAAATACTTCGGCTGGAGCCAGCAAGTGAACTTTCTGACCTTCACCTGCCCCTGCCCCGCCCCACCCCCAAGCAGGAACGGAGTCAGAAGATGACTCGGGCCTTGCACCCCAGAGCCTCCCCGGGAGAGCAGAGTCACAGCACAGGCCTGGGCGGCCTCCCCCACCACAGCACAGCCAGACCCAGCCTTGGTCTTTTCTCTCCCACGAGCCCAGAAACCCCTCTAGAAACACCAGGAGTGCTGCTCCTCAGAACTGTTCCCACCTGCTGTCAGACCCCCAAGAGCCCCTCCGCACCTCAAGAGGAAGACCAGGCAGCAAAATGCAAGAGGCAGATCCCCCATGAGAGCGAGCCAGACAAGCCCAAGAGCAGCCAGTGCACCTCAGAGGCACAGATTCTCGGCGAAGACGAGCCCTAACTTCACTCAGAGCAGGTGGCATCCAGTTCCCTAAGTTTTCAGTGGTTTCCTACCCAGACACCCTAACACCCTCCTAACCCTCCACCAAGGGCTGGAGGGCTGCCCTCTGAGCACGGTGCACCTGTCTAATACCCTCCACACACCTGTCTGTCCGCTCAGGGCAGTGCCCTACCCCTCACCTCCTGGCTTGCCCCCGAGTGTCCACAGGCCGTGAGGAAGCCGGCTCGCAGTACAGAGCTGGGAGAGCTTGATCCACTTGCCCAGAAACCTGAGGGAAGGCACAGTGCTTTGGGAGTGGAGAACACTGCACACCTTTAGGGTGCGTTCTGCTGCCCCGACTACACCGAGCACCTAGGGGGTGTCTGGTGTGCCTCAGTCTCCCCCGCACCCACCCGGAAGCCTGGCCTAGAGCCATCTGTGATGCACCTGAGCAACACCTGCTTCCAGATGAACCCCACGCTCCCTGCCTCGGTGGTTTGTAGATTTCTTGGAACTCCAGACTGCCACCCCTTTGGAGGTGCTGGCCGCAGGCCTGCGCACGTACTCCGTAAAGCTTTCCTGCCACGTGACTCGGTCTGAAGCAAGGGACGGGCTCCCTGGCATTTTCACCCTCACATCAACGAACGCCCCAGGCCAAAATTAGATTTGAGACAGAATGTTGCACTTGTCTTGCCCTTTTAAATGGTTTTTAGGACAGCGACAAAACAAACACCTGGAGACAGAAGATCTTGTCAAACTACCTGTTGAAAAGTGTGGCGCTCACCAGCCCAACACCGCTGGCTGGAAACACTGCCACTCTGGGCCTTGAACCCTGACAGGAACCAAGCTGTCAGCTGACAAGTCCAGAATAAACTGAAAAACACCATTTGTAACCAGAGACCTGGTTTCCATGACCAGAGTGACATTTCAAAAGTGCACTTGTGGTCCCTTTACAATCCTGAGCAAAACCTTTTGCTGGCTCACCGCCCCCGCACGGGAGCCCGCGGTCCTCAGCCCAGCACTCCCTCGCCCGGCCCCGGGCCCACCCCCTTCTCCCCAGCTGCCTCCCTGCTTGGCTGTCCCGACTCAGCCGGTCCCCCTCTCCTCTGGACACCTGCCACCTGCAACTTCCCTGACACCCCTTCCGCACTTCGTCTTATGCCGCCAGCCCTCCCGTTGGCTACGGTCCTCACAGGCAGAGACGGGCCTCCCTGCCCCCCTGCCCCCCTCCCCAGGGCGCACTCCAGTCCGGAGTCCGGAAGCCTCTGTGGGAGGCTGGGTGGGCACTGGCAGACGGCAGGCGCTCCCGCCGCGGCAGCACCTACAGATCGCTGCCCAGGGCCACAGTCCGGCGCAGCCGGCCCTTCACAGAAAGTTTTTCCACGGACACATCTAAAGCAGTGTTCCCCTGTATTTCCACACTGTGGCACTCAAACAAACCCCACGATATTCTGTGGCCCACGGGGGTAAACAAAAAGGCCACTAGTTAGACACCTGGCCTGGGGGTTCTGGTTACCCCCAAAAGGCTGATGGGTTGTCAGTGTACCTGGGACCCTTCATAGGTCCAACCTAAAGACTCAAAACCACAGCTGCCTCTTCAGTCCTGCTCCCCAACAGAGCTACGCACAGACAGAAGTGCAGGCCACCAGCCTGACCCCTCCCCAGATCTCCCTGCCCGCCTGGTCAAGGGCGACCCCACGGGGGCAGGACCCAGACAGACACCTATATCCCCAAACAAATGCCCTAGTGACGGCACAGTTTCCTGTTTCCTGCCCTCCTGAAAGCACTCTGGGAAGCAAGTCTGCCTTCCCACTGGCCGGAGACCACGTCCTACAGATGTTGGATCAGATGAGCTCCAACCCTTGTCCAGGTCAAGAAACCAAAACATGGCTTTGTTACAAAGCACAAGGCCCCTGCGTGGAGAACACCCAGCACCTGTCGCTCCCTTTGGCGAGTTCAGCGGAACAGAACTTGGGGAGAGGGTGAGATGCTGACTGACCAGCCTACAAAGCTGTCTGCCTGTTGCCAAAACACTTCACACAGAGCACAAGAGCCCCCTCCCTGAGAGAGTGGGGCCCAGCGAATCCCCACTGGTGGCCCAAATGGAGATGCCCCCCACCCCGTCACTCCCTCCTGCCCCGGCCTCCCCCGTCCCGGTCCCACTCACAGACTGAACCTTGGCTCCAGAGCAGGGCTTGGGCAGGCACCTGCTTCCCCACACGGGGCTCCTCGGGCCCCCCCCCGGGTGCTGCCATGCCCACCTTCCTCCTGGGTGTGGGGCGGACCCTGGCCCATGAGGAAACGCCATCCCTGCCTCTCCCACCCCTAGTGACCCGCAGTGGTCGTCCTTTCTCCCTCACCCGGGCATCTGCAACAGCCTCTGCCTCCCCGTTCTGATCCTTCCAAACCTGCCCTCCCGAATTCTCACCCCGTCTTGGAAGATGACGATCGCTGAAGTGGCCCTACACCCCACACCTCACCTGCTGCTTAACCCTCCGACCAGACGGCCTCCGTGAACAAGGCCCTTTGCGCTGCCCCTGGAGGCCACGGCCCCTTCCTGCAATCTCACCACTTGCAAGGCAGACAGGCCCCGCCCAGCTCAGAGGACTTTTCCCAGGGCCCCTCCATGCCGGACAGTGCGGGACCTGTGCCGAGCTTTCCCAAGCCCTGAGCGTCCTCTCCCCCCCTCACCCCGTGTTCTCCAACTTGGTCTGTGCTGTCACCTTCTGTTCAGTTGTCTGAAAACCCGGACCTTTTCTCTAACTGTTCCTTCTCCTTCAACACCCCGGTAAGTAGCAGTAGGTGGCAGGGAACGTTTCTGGATAAATCCATGTGCCCAAGAGGGAACCTGTGGTCTTGGCAACATCACCCGTCACACCATGGGAGGAACTCCTCTGTACTTCTGTGCTCTGGCTCAACCGCCCCGGAGAGCACCCTCACCACCCTACTCCCAGGGCAGCCCCATGTCCCGACACGGGAGGCGCACTGCAGCTCACACTGCCCAGCTGGCTTCCAAAGACCGTCTTGACCCTTCTGGAGCCACGTAACACAACAAACTAGAACCCCTTAAAAGTAGCTGATGGCCCATGTTCTCTTCGGCTTCACTGAATCTCACTCTGAAGGGCTCTTGGCTTTCCTGAGTTTCTCAGGTGCCGCCCCCCAGAGGGTGTGCCCCCCCCGCGATGTTAGTGTAGCCGCTGCAGCATGTAGGATGCAGGAAAGGGGGGCAGTTTCTGAGACTACACAGTGGAAGGTCCAGTGAGATCCCAGCATCAGAGCGCGTGGGGAAACGTGGGGGCAGCCGGACCCAGAAAGCACACTCCCCGCTGTCCCAGCCTCGGGCGCTCTGCCCAGCGGCATCGCCCGGTCTGCACCTCACTGCAGGGTCCGGTGTAGCACAGAGACGGTGTGTGGGACCCACCGATCACGAGGCTGGCGCCAAACCACCACCACCCCGCGCAGGCTGCCTGCCCGAGGTGACCCGCCCAGGAGCAAGCAGACCAACAGCTGGGTGACATCTGAACCCTTTCTTTTCCCATGGGCGGTGGTGAAGGCAAGAGGTGGGTTGGTTTTGCTTGTTTTGTTTCTGTTTCAAATCAAGAGTCGTTAAGGAGAATGCCTCAGGGGAGAGGAAGCTTACCGAGGGCTCTGGAAGTCAGGATGGGCTGCAGTCCGCACCAGTCGCACACACCACCAGCGCTGAGCCCACAACCACGGTGGGGGGGCCCGGCCGCTTACTAACTGGGTACCTGGGGGCAAGCTAGTTTGGCTAAGCCTCCATCTCCTCACCTGTAAAAGGGAAACTTCTAGATCCCACAACTGTGGTGGAGTTCAAATCTCATCCCTATGAAAGGGCTCTGTTAACCCTAAAAACAGTAGGAGAAATGTTCTTTTTTCTTTTTGGTTAAAAATTCACCAATCAGGAGCCACTAAATTTGCCACAAGCAAGCTGGGTGGTCGGGAGGTCTCCGGGCCTCCCTCTCCTTGTCCGCGAGGCAGGAACAGTCCGTGCGCTGCTCCCCCTCCAGGTGGCAGGGGTGGAGCTGGACACGCAGAGGTGACCAGCAGAGGGCTTAGCTAAACTGTCCCCGACACAGATGCCACATACTCAGTCTCCCTCACGCACAGTCATTGCTCTAGGCTGCGTACCGCCTGGGTTTAAAAGAGGGAGGGAATGGATGTAAGAAGGCCAAGGAATAAGAGAAAAATACGTGTATAACTCATGGACGCCGACAACGGTGGTGATGGCCAGAGGGCAGGGGCCCTGGGGGCTGGGAGGAGAGGGGCAAAGGGGTGGGGGGTGGGGGAATGGGAACGTGTCAACAGTAACAATACAGAGAAAGAAGTTCCTTTCTCTTGCCCCCCTCCAGGATTATGGCAGGTGGCTGCCAAGGATGACGATGACTTGGGGTGAGGGAGGGTATCTTCCCCGAAAGAGGGTTCCGCGTCCATTCCCACGCCCACTGAGCCCCAGCGGAGACCTCGCTGGCGCGCAGCAGAGGAGCCGGCGGGGGGCGTCTGCAGCAGCAGGAGAGCAGGCCAGTCCCCAGAGCCACTCAGTCAGTCAGAGACCGAAGGCCATCGTCCAGGCAGGGCTGCTCAAGCACCACCGACCCAGGGGGAAGCCTCCTGACCCCAGGCTGGCAGCCCGCCCTGAAGGCCAGCCTAGGAACACTGCGGTCATCGGAACAGGCCACTGCGGTCTGCCCTTCGCACTCGCTCCCCGCACTTCCACCCAAACCCGGGCGGCTGCCCCTCCACGCTCCTCCTCCTCTCGCCCAGTGAGACGAAGCCTCCCCAGCCTTCCTTCAGAGTCTGGCTCAGATCTTTTAAGACATCCCCGTCACCAACCTCAGGCCAGAGAGAGTGTACTCAGAGACTAGGTAAATAAAAGTCTACCTCAATTTCTCATTGACAAACAAAAACAAGCTTCAAATACAACAGCTTCCTCAGTTTATACAGCCACACCTTAGTCTTCGAGTCTATCTTGCTAGTTTGTTAAATAAGCTTTCTCAATTGGTCTGAAAGAAAACCACCCTATTTTACACAAGGGCATCTTATGTAAAATGGGGTGAAGACAGAGCCCAGGTTCCAGCCCAGGAGTCTAGGACAGCTTCTAAGCCCTGAGCTCAAAAGATCCTGAAAGGCCCCTGCCGGAGTTCAGGCCCCTGCAGCTGCACGGGGCCGCGCCCACTGCCCTGCCCCCACTTCCCTTCCCAGACTGGTAATCCACAGCACGCTACTAGAAAGGGGCTTTGGCTCTGAGCAGAGCTGGGCTTCATTCTTGACTCCAGCATTCAGCTCTGAGCCTCATTGTTTTTTCACCTGTCAAACAGGGATACCACCACCTCCGGAGTTCGTGTGCGAAGACTGTCCAAGCGCCTGGTGCACACAATAGACCATTTTTAGCATCTTCCTTTCCTCTCCTTCCTTCCTTCCTTCCTTCCTTCCTTCCATTCCTACTTCTTCAGTCTACTACTGCCCATAAGCCCAGAATGACCTAAACTGAAGGCTACTGTTAACTTAATTACCTAGGACAATTAGCTGACATTTGAATGCAGAGACCAGTCATGCAAATTGTATAAAAGAATCAAGATAGGAGAAACTGAAACAAAGCTGAGAAAAACTGAGCTCCTAGGTGGTGCTAAGAGATGTCTTCACAGCAGCCAACGGAACCCCGTTCCTTCCTGCAGTCCGTGAGCAGCAAAACACGTGACTCGGGATCGTACATCTCCAGCTAGGACGTGCTAGTCAGACTTGCTTAAACCGCATGGGCAGGCACATGACGGCAGTCTCCACGCTGCCCACCAGCAGGGCCAGCACGGTGTAGAAACGGCAAAGTTCTGCCAAGAAAGACCAAGATCCACCTTAAAAGGACCAAATAATAAAATATGAACTGACCGGCTGAGGTAAAAAAGAGGCCCGCATTCAACACTGGCTCCACGAGGCAATGAATCCACCAAACAGCCACAGCTGAGGAGAGGAGTAACTTCTATTGGTTCATCAGTTTACACAAACATCTCAGGCTTAAAATATCTTGAACAGAATGCAAATCTGTCTTATTTTTTAAAGGATATACTCAGCCCCTATCTACAGTTTTTATGACCTGAGAGCATCACGGGACTCAATCTGCACTCCCCACTCAGCGCCTCTAGCAGCAGACAGGGGCACCTCCGCACCTTCCCTCGCAGGCTCCCGCAGTCCACAGACGGCACGTGGCGGCCGGAACGGACAGGAAGAGGTCTGCCCTGCACTCAACAGCGTCACCGCCTACCCACTTCTTCTTCCTTATGCTGAAAAGCAACTTACCAACTGCCTAGATAGATAGCGAAGTGGGTAGAATGGACAGACAGATGTATAGGTTGGAAGATGGGTTTTTTCCCTAAAATTAACAGACAGGCCCCGGCCTGGAAGCTCAGTTGGTTAGAGCGGCATCCCCATGCACCAAGGTTGTGGGTTCAATCCCCGGTCAGGGCACACGCAAGAATCAACCAATGAATACATCAATAAATGGAATGACAAATCAATGTTTCTCTCTCTCTAAAATCAATAAATAAAATTTAAAAAAAAAATTTAACAGAAGGGAGGCTTTACATAGTGACGAGTATAGATTTTCCCCTCAAAATGCTGAAGCAAATGGAGAGAGAAGTCGCAGGAATGCTGTTCAGAGAAGCACCCAAGTCAAAAGCCTTCTGGGCACGCCACTCAAACTCCTCTTTTTTGTCTGTGGTTTCTAGTAACTTGCCTTCTACCTGCCAAACCCTGGTGCACTCTGAAAGTTGGATTCCGGGGCGAGCTGTAACCAAACACACTCTTTTTTCTCATTGAAGCACTGGTCGGAAACTTGGAGTCAACGAGTTGGTAATTTAAACTCAGCCGTTTTGGGCACACTTCAATCCCGAAGCGGGCGTTTGCGAAGCCCTGGCAGCGGACCGGCCGATGGCTTCACCGCCGCCGCAGGAACGGAGGGAGCGTTTTCATCCAGCACGGTCCGCAGTGACCTCCTCACACCGGCTCCCACCAAACGTTTGCTCTGTTTCCTGTCTGGGCTTCAGATGGTGAAGACAGGCCTGTGCCCACAACGGGGCGCACCCCACACCTGTCGGCACCGAGGAACCAACGCAGCCGCCCCCGAGCAGGCCACACACCTGTTTCCAAGCTACCACGCTAACTAACCGCCAGCACAGCCTGGCCTCCCTCACACACTGTCACCTCAGCCAACCAAGGGAAGGACAGTCACCGGTTCCTGGGTACGACCACGTGCCCAGGAGGTACTATTCAAAGCACTTTAGTGTATTAACTCACCTAATTCCCAAGCCCCAAGGGAACTTGCTGGAGGGGAGAGATTCTTTGGTCCAGATTCCCACATGGTTTCTATTCCATATTTCTAGCTGTGCTGTGAAGCTTACATAACCTAATTTGCATTAGGGTGCTATTTTAAAAATCTCCAAAGTTCACTCTTCAGGCATCAATGGAAGCTGTTAGCTCTTACCTAAAATGATAATGTGAGAAAGGATATCTATTCTTACAACTAACTCAACTCAAATTCTTGCCCTAAAACTCTCTTTGGAAGATGCTCCTGGAAAGGAAGGGACTCGCTGCTCTGTGAGAAGCACCAGCTCCCTGCTCCGTGCAGCAGGATGCAGGATGCTCGAGACACTCACACCGACACTGAAACCCACCTCCACAGACGGCCGTTCTTCGGCTCTGCGCTCGGTACTCACCACCACCCATCCCCCTTCCAGGCCCCCGGGTGACACGGAGACAGCGCTGGTCACTGGGTGGTGCGGCATCAGTGTGAGTCTGACTAAAACAGAACCTTCCTTGTTCTGACGACCACAGGGAACTCCGCCCCCGGCCGGCACGGAGGCCAGGCCTGAGCTCAACGGCACTCAGGGCAGACCACTCACAGAGCAGGCTGTTTGCAGCTTCAACTGCTCCCAGCAGCGCTGGCTTTTAGGGCTCTAACTGCAGGGGACGCAGTGCAGGGATCATCTCCGCGGTTCATTCCCCTAACTCACGACTGAAAATTTACCTCCACTGCGATTATTAATGAGGCCTAGGAAACAGGGAAGTTATAATGAATGATTTATTAGAAGGGTAAACCCCCCTCATTTGTCATTAAAAAAATATGGTGAGTATTTGAATTAACCAGTTTGCTTTTTTCTGTCTCATAAAGCTGTTTCAGAAGGACTGGGGTATTCATTGTTCATTTCATTCAGTTCACTTACACGTGGACAGAAGTCGATGAACATAAACCAGAGCTGGTTCTGAGCTGTCCAAACTGGCAGGGAAATATTTAAAGTGAGCGGCGCATTTCCAAACGAGGCCCATTTCAGTGATGTCAGAGGGCCCGCATTATTAATGTACAGATAAACTATTAAATGAATAATACACTTTTGATACTGCTAACGCATTATTTGCCCAATTCCCCCAACAAGGAGACTCTCAGGCATAAAGCGCTCCCACCGGGCAGGCCTCTGTCTGACTGGTATTCAGAGAGGGGCCCAGCGCGGCCTGGGCACTGGGCTGTCTGAGCAGAACTGGAATGTACCTGGGACTAGTCATCGAGACCTCATACCACCTTTATGGATGCGAAAGCCACATTCAACGTACATAAAGATTCTGTATGGGAAAGAATGTTGTTCCAGCAACCTTCAAGTTAGTGATAAAAAGAAAACTGCTACTTAGAGACAAATAGAAAACATAAAATTCATTTTAATCTCTCTATAAAATACAGCCTTAGCACAGAACATCTGACACATATGAAATGCATTTATGGGACGCGCTAAACGAAGCAAATCCTTATTAAAATATTTGGCCTAAACCTCACATCTTTTAAGTAAACTCCACGGTAGTTGCAAAGGCGGGAAATAAACATCTAGCTACCTAACCTAGAAAAAGATAAGTGAGTTGCCTTAAATCTATTTGGTCTCTGCAAACTAGGTATTAACCATTCTGAGTCTTGCCCAAGTTGGTTCTGCACATAGTCAGCTCACCTCAATCAATCATGTTCCCAGTTACCTTAATGTTTTGGTTTTTTCATTTCTATTGCTTGTTTTTTTATGGCTTCGTGCTGCTGTTGTATTGGGGCATACAACACATATCAGAGATTTTCATTTCTCAGAGAAATTTCTCTCTTTGAGAAATTGGCACTTCGATCCTCAGCTTAATAGCTACATACGAGTGGATCCCACCAGCATGGTTACCAATCTTGCTGCTTATGAAATTCCAGCATTTTGGCCAAAAGAGTGCCCTGACATTAAAGTCTTCTTAGGTGAACTCTTTCCACCCTGAATTCTTTTATTTAAACAGGCATGTGTGTGTAATCAGGTATATGTCATATGTGTTCTACACACACCCCCACACACACTCAGCTCTGTAAAAGCGTCTCTCTTAAACAGAAGGTAATCACAAGGGTATTAAATGCTGAAAATAATTATTTGACATTTAGATCATACAAATTTCTAAAGGTAATGTGATGGCATAACACCTAAGAGATCAAATACATCATATATGATTGTCATATATGCATGCATGCTGTGTTCATTGGTTTTCAATCACTTTTCTCTTGAATCAGAAAGTAAAAGAGCTTACCTTTGTACACTGAGAGCACAGCTTACAGTCACTATATCTCAGCCTATTTTATACAAGTGATATGGCTACGGAGGTCCGAGGAGAACGAGAATAAAGTGAGATAAACGTGCTGAAAACTGCTTAAAAGTATTAACCTGAAATACACAGAGGGTCCAACACCAGTTTTAAAAATACATTAACGAGGTATTCCCAGCTCTTCAATTAATAATGGTGACTGAATGATTCATGATTTCCAAACATCCACCCAGTTTTTAAAAAAGACAAGGTTAACACCAGCACAGCCCAGCAGTGTTTGGTTCCCGGCCAGCAACTGGAGAGGAGCGCTGTGGACGCCCTCGGGGCCCTCGCCGCCCCTCACCGTGCGCTGCATCGAGTCAGCATGAGGTATGTAGGGAAGCTACTCGACCGACCACCTTGCACAAGAGATGGGGTGCTCCCGGAGCCTGAAGGGACACAGGCTGCAGGCCACATCCCTGGCTGGGCGCCAACCCCCATGCAAAGAATATGGCTTCAAGGAGGACCCCTATCTCTGAGAAATTAAAATAGCACTAACTGACGCAGTCAGGAATGCAACTATCCAATTTACGTACTAAAAAAGTTAAAAACTGTCAGAAGATAAAGCACAGCTCACACACTGACTCTGAGTTCTGCACTGGTCTGTAAAGTCCCTGACGAGAGACTGCACTAGGAGAGGTTGAGTACAGATATTGCTACGTTTCCAAAGGAAAAGTTTTAAAACAGACACCGTGGCTTTGAGTCAAGTATTGCTCTTCTTTAAAATGTTCGGTCACTGCTTTCCAAAAGGAGGTGTCAGAGTGGTGTATCTCAAAGCTGGAAAGCCTCAGGGGTCACATTGCTCTTAAGACCAAGACATAGAAATTGCCATTTCAAGCCAGACAACCTGATGGTTCTAGAAGTCAGAGAAGAGATCTTGAGGGCCCAAGTGAATAATAAATGGTGCGACGCTCAGAGGCTGGCAATAGGGGCTGTCAATGAAAAAACCACCTACAGTGGGGAAAAGAGCAGAGAGCAAAGCTTGATGTTAATGTCACAGAATTTGGTGAAGCCAAGAGCTTCATTTATATTTCTCTGCTCTTTCGGCTGTAAGTGGAATTTTCATTACAAAATGGAGGGGTGGGAAGGGCACAGGAGGGGGAACACTTAATTCATTACAAAATGTAAACAGTTGAACTTGCAGTGGTTACCACTTCTAACAAAGGACTGACAGCTCAATTATTTTAAGTAAAGCAGAGAAATGTAAAAGTTTGCAGCAACTGGGCAGGTTTACAACATGGTTAGTAACTTCCAACAAACAACAAAATTAAAAAAAAAGGACTCGGTAGAACCGTCTGAAATGACTGCCATCATGTCGGAAAACAGCACAGCCCCTCTCACCACTGCACGGGGTGAGCTACGAAGCTGAGTCGGCTACTTCCAAATAGTTTTCTAACGAGAATCTCCAGAGAGACTCCAACTTGGAATGCAAATTTGACGATCAATTTCAAATGACAATACAGCTACGGCTGCCAATTAATAGTATTCCAAAAACAAAGAGGACTATTGTAAATATTTAATTAATAAAAACTGGACACTACCAGCCATGCTTTTTCTTCTCAGTGATGGCTCTGTTTCATCCATGGGTCAGCAGAATGAATCAATGAAACACGTGGAAACTCCCAGCCGAAACAGGCCCCCCTGTTCATGTCTCACCACTAATGCACAGGGTGCGGATGATAAGGTCACAGCTATTTCTAGCGAGTGATGAGGTTTTATTAAAGTATCACCCACCACTAATAAAAACAAAAGGTCAAAGAGTAAAAGTAAAGAACCATTGTGTAATAAATATACATCTGAAAAAGGACACTACATTTGTTTTAAATTGCCCATTCCATTCTCATTTAGTGGTCCACAAGAAATCTGACACATAAATTTGCCATATTTTGTGAAGCCTATTTTCACTGATGGGCAGTGTTGTGCTCCAAAATACAGAATTTAAGAGGGAAGAGGAAAGCTAATTCTTACTAAAAACAGACATTTTTAAGACAGAGTAACTCATAAATATCAGCATGGACATGGGACCACACTGTGGCCGTCATGGGGGTGAGTACCTTAATGAAACCATTACCTTCTAGTGACATCATAGGCTTTCCAGACAAGGTGAGAATGCAAGTGCGAGACTTAGGTCTGCACCCTTCACAGAACAGCACGATGGTACCAACTGATCATTTGCCACCAGCTTACTCAGGTGTCTTCAAAAGAAATGCTGACCCATGGCTGAAACCTGTCACTTTTCACAGCAGCACTCAACAAGAACTGGGACAATCGAAGAGCAAGTTTTTATGGGGACCCTGTTGCTGCTTTAGATTCTGATGTAATTGAAGAGGAAAAGAAGACCCTTCAATGAATCCCAGAAAAACTGCTAATCTTCTATCTGCATGAAAAAAGCCAGGGAGTGAACACAGTATCTTACAGAGTGAAGAAGGCCACAAGAACGAGAGGGTGATTGATTGGTTAATTTATTATTTTTTAAAACTTGGGAATTCGGGAACTAGAATAATCACACTCCTCCTTTCCATCTCCGGGTGGTGCCTCACTCGGACACGGACACGCAGCGCTCGCTCGGAGGGCGTGACCCCCGGCAGGAGGGGAGGCCCTTGCGCAGCGGGAGCAGGAAGGGCTCTAAGGAGGGAGACTGGCTCCGACTCGCCACCGCCTGGCTTTGTTGCAGCCGTGTGCTTGCAAGTGAATGAATGGGTTTCTAGGGCTAAGTCATTGGTTTTCAGTTCCTTGTAATTTTATACCAAAACATATCAAAAATAATAAGCTAAAACAATATTCAAACCCATATTTTATTGGCTTTAATTACACACTTCAATATTTACAAAGTTAAAGTTAAATGAAAAGTCTCTATCGTATTAAAAAAAAATAACTACAGCCCGAATTAAAGTGCCCTGGGGCGAATGCGTGTCCATCAGCCAGGAATCAGTGACTGCGTCAGGAACCAGGCGGCACTCTGTGTCACAGCAAAGCAGTTTATTTGTGATCAGTGTTTGAGACTCTATACAGCCTTCACAAATTTAATTTTACATAATCTGATACTCCTCTTCAACTTTGAACTGCTAGACTTATTTCCCTACAACAGAAGGGCTGGTATAAGTTATTTTCCGGAAATGAGGTACCGTTTCACAGAACTAGTTTCTTTTTTTTTTTTGTTTTCAAGTTTTAGAGAACTAAATTTGCATTTGTTAAAATCAAAAAGTAGGAAAGATGTTCTTTACAAATAATTTTGATCAAGTATGTGTTCGAAGAAAGCAGGATAAAAAGGCTTTTTCTCTAACATTCTGTATTGTACTGTACTGTTGTTCAATAGGAATGAGCTTCTGCCATTTGCTAAAAGAATGAGTAGTGGGGAACAGGATATGTTGGGAATTTCATAACGGGCAACAGAACCATTCTCTTGGGTAAACCTACAGAGAAAAGAAACGGAGAGGACTCCAAATAAGTTTGATAATCCAATAAAAATTTCAGGTAAAAAAAATCTTATAATAATTACCATTAACCTTTTCCAGATTAGTCAGTCAACATGTACCATTTTGGAAGAGGCCCACAACTCTCTCGCAGACCTCCAATTTTGAAATTGCTCTTAATATTTTGGTAACATCTTCCACTCCAAATGAAGGCGCCACGTCACAGGAAGAATGACATTCAGAAAACGATTTTGTGTGAGCGAGCTGCCATGGACTCTCAAGATCAACAGCAATGCTGCTGATGGATATTCTAAAGTGACTCTGCAAATCCAGACTGGCTCTCCATTTGGCAGATCACATTCTACAGGAGGAATAGGGATTGTAAAAATTCAAAGCACATCTTTCAGTGCCAGCCTGAGCTCCGCAGAAAGGCAGTTCCAGGCAGAGCTGTGACCAGGTGCTTATCTGGTTAATGGCTATTGCCAATATTGGCGTGGCAAATCTGGAAAGATTAATAATCACTTTCTTAATTTTGTAATTAATGAGTTCTTGTGGCCTCACAAACTTCTGCATACTCAAGCATGGTTTGCAATCTGCTCCTGTTTCTACCCTGACCTACGGAGAAATCACAAAGCAGCAACAGCAGGTAGTCGAGCGCACCGGATGATCAGAGGGAAATCACCCCGCATGCAACAGCTTTACAAAGGCCAAAGACATATTTACCTTACAGCCAAAATAAAGCATCGTTTTAGTAGGTAGGCATCACAGTAACATTTAAAAACCAAATCTTTTATGTGAAAAATGGGGGCATCAAATTTCACCAGCTTTGGAAGTCAGTATATGGCACATGGAAGAGAGGAGCCCTCTGCAGTGGGGGCTCAGAGGCCGCAGGGTGGAAAGTCCAGTGTTAGAGAAAAGGGAGGGACAAGAGAGAAAAATTAAAAAGACTGAGGGGAAACATGAATGTAGCTTAGAGCCTAGATATGAAAGTGTTTTAAAGGGAAAAATAAAGCTCTAGCAAACCCATACTAAAGAACATGAGACTGACTATGTCTGAGAGAAAGACACAGACTTAAGAACCAGCCCGAGGCGGCAGACGCTCAGGTGCTCACACAGGCGTGTTACGAGGAGCCGGGAGTCAACAACGTGCTTGGACACACTGACCAGACCTAATGCTCAGGAACGAGGCGGCAGTCAGGATACCCAGAAGCTGGCTGAATGGTAAAAGCAAATGGCCAAATCTAAAGGAGCCAGACAGTTTGAACTTAGAGGCAATTCTGGGTGAAAGCATACTCTTGAATGAACCCCCACTTCCTAGTTACCCGTATCTGAGAACAAGGGGAATCAGGGGGACCCTGACCCAACCAGAATGTGCCAGAGGGGACATTCAGGTAAAGGACTCAACTCCAGACTCTGTCTGCACTTTGTCTTAGAGAAAACTCACCCCAAATATCTGACCCTTGCAGCTTCTCCACATCTTTCCAGGATATAAATTGTCTATCTTAATGGGAAAACTGGTCGAACTGTTCACGTCCTACTTATGTCTAGAGGCATGCAGCCAGGTGAAGTTTCAACTCGGCAGTGTCTAAGGACCCACAATCTCCATCCACACAAAAATGGGACGCTGATGCATGGAGAGAAAGCACAATGAAAGGCCTTGAGGCTCCGCGGAGGACTAGCCTCCCGGGTGGCCGTACACTCAGGGTCTCCCCCGTCTGGGCACACGCGTGTCCAGCCCAGGGTTGCACTGAGGCACGCACACTCACACACACTCTTCACATGCACACACACATTCTCCCTTCTTCTCTCAGTGACAAACATCCTGCAGATGGCTGGTTCCAGAACATGTAGCACCTGAGTTAGGAGAAAGGTCTAAGCGAGCATATCACTGACTCCAAACCTATTGCCTCCATTGCCACATAAACCTCATTCAAAAGTTATCCAAAGGGCCACTGAGGTTCATTTCTGCATTTGCTTCTGTTTTTGTTTTTGTTTTTTTTTAATTTTTGGAGGAAGAAGAGACAATTCTGTGTTTTTCTAACGTGTATTACTGACTTTCTGCAGTAAGCACTTATGCGACACTGCTGGTGATACCCCTTATCAACTCTCCAGGGCCCATTTACTCCACTTCTAAAGCAAAATTTCTGGAAAGGGATGATGGCTACAAATTTGCAGTGAACATTTTCTATCCCTAACTTAGATCACCCACAGCTCACACAGTTTCCAACCAAAAACTTAACTGTAGCTACATAACTGGCAGGCAGCCAAGCCAGAAACTGTGTATGGCCCTTCAGTAGCCTTTGAATGGAGTGTAAGTTGGCTGTAAGAAGAACTACTTAAGATACTTAATTTCAGTATGGTCAGAAACAGGCAATTAGAACAAGCAGTCCTTCAATCAGGCAAAGCGGAGAGAAGAGCAACTCCAACCAAACCAAGAACCACAAGGTTGTGGCATTTTCAAAGGGAATTTAAGTTGGGTCACTAGAATGAACAGGTCTGAGATCCTCCAATTCATTTAAAGAAACCCTAGATACAAACTGTGCTTGGGACTGCTGTGACAGAGTCGCTAATAGGAGAAACCAGTAAGACGGTGTACATACCATAGGCAGGGGCAGCTGTGCTGTAACCATATGGTGTTCCATAGCCTAGTGCAAAGAAGAAGAGAGCAGATCAGTCTACGACAATGGGCAGCTGGCACTGGCCCAATTCACAAGTAACACCAGGCCTGGCACCATGGGCCTGAGGACTTCTTCCAGATGCTGGAATGAGAACCATTCCCGGAATGGCTCTAACCTACCGATCCCTTCAGGCCTGCTAGAGTGAAGCCTTATGCGCAGCCTCCAAGACTCCCCTGACCTACCAGAACATCCTGTCTCTGTCTCAACAGGCTTACCTCACTGCATGGTAACTATCGACTCCCGGTCTGTGTTTCCCATTCCCACCAGAGCAGCAGAGACACTTGCATCACCTGAATTCAGCAGAATGCCTGTCAGATAGTAACCACTAGCAAAAAAAAATTGTTGAGCAAAGGGATATTCAGAATGATGCAAATGACCCATTTCTCAAAGGCAGAAACCAGAACTTCTCAAGTCTCTTTTCAGAAAGCAGTGACAGAGCAGGCTGAAGTCTCAACTGCCACTGAAGAAGGCACAAGGATCAGGTTGTGGGCTTGGGGGCAAGGTCCGCGTCTCGTTGACACCTGAATTCCTGGCCTGAGCACAGGGTCTCTCAGGAAATACTGGTGAAACTGACATTAGTATCTGGGGCCTATGATGAAAAAGGTTCACATTGTAAATAAAAACAAACACAAAGAACACAGAAGGTTTGAACCAGTTAGTTCCGGCACAAGTTTCTCATATGTCCTGGACATATATAATTTCTGAGTTACCATTTTCTCATCTGCAGAATGGGAAACTCTCCAAGCTACTTGGTAGTGTTATAGGGATTAGAAATACTTTATTAATAGAAGCTACTGGATTCACCAAACAGTCCCTTATGCTTTTTCGGGACCAATGGCCCTAGTTGCGCTTAGTTGTCTTTAATTTCATTCGAAACAATTTTGTTAGATTGTACTGTGGCAGCTGTCATGTCAGGGTGCATTTTTTTAAAAAAAATATCAAAATTGGTGAATTTTTGTGCAGCCATTTTAATATGGCAGATGAAAGAAAATACAGAACATCTTTGGCATATTATGCTTTATTATTTCAAGAAAGGTAAAAACACAACTGAAACGCAAAAAAAAAGATTTGTTCAGTGTATGAAGGTGCTGTGACTGATCAAACATGTCAAAAGTGGTTCACGAAGTTTATTGGTACTGTTGCTATTTTGACCAAATAATTCCTTGCTGTGGGCTGTCGTATGCACTGGAAGATGTTTAGCAGCACCCCTGGCCTCCACCCACTAGAAGCCAATAGCAGGTGAGAGCCAACACACTCAAAATATCCAAAGCAATAAAGTTATTGGTGAAAATGAAAAATGTGTCTTTTAGTTTACTAAAAAAAAAAAAAATAACAGACTTCTTGGCCAACCGAAATCAGTATTTAACCTTTCAGTAAAACAACTTTAAAAATATAAATATTAAATCACTTGGGTATATTTCTAGGAAAACAACTTATTTCTAAAATAGAACAAGGACATGAAATCTATATGGGCCCCTTCAGACTATACCCACATCAAAACAAGCTTTTTTACATTGCAACCCCTTTGTCTATATCATTTCTCCTGCACTGATTTTTTCCCCTCCCCCTCTCACTGACCAACTGCAACTCATCATTTCTTTCAGTACTAAGTGTCACCTCCTCTGTGAAGTCTCCCCTGCTTGCTGGTTCTTCCTCTGCCCACTCACGTTATAGCTCTCATCACACTGCATGCTGCTTACACAACTGTCTCTTCCAACCCATCTGACCCCCGGCATTCACTAGGGCAGATGCTAGGTCTTGGTCACCTATGAGTGCTCAGTTCCAAAGCTCTTGTCAGAGACAAAACACTCAAATGACTGGTGAACAAATAAACTGCTTTTAGGGACCAACTGAAACATTTCTTGAGAGATGAAACCTTTTTCACTTTTTAGTCTATACTTAAAGTCATAAAAAACTGGGGATAGTACAACTTAGTCTCTCTCAATCTTACTCTTAGTCTTTGATTCTCAAGAACATATCTCAAGAAGACACAATGCAGCTGAAATAGGCAGCAGGAACTGTATCAGAGGCCAAAAGAGAAATTAAAGTTGAAAAAATAAGTTGTGCGTCAACCCAGAAAAAGGTAGTGGGCTAGCTACAGGCTCTTTACCAGAACCGCCTCAGAGATGAAACTAGATTACTCAGCAGCTGCAGAGCAGACCACTGGGCTCTAACCCTGCCTTCACTTCTCAGCAGCAGGCTGACTTTGAACTGTACCTGTCACTTAACCTCTCTGAACCTCACTGTCTTCCGCAGTAATTGAGTTGGCAGGGAAATGTGATTAAATAATATATGTAAAAAAATTAACTACAGTCCCTGCTACACAGAACAGACTCCACAAACGGCATATAACCTATTCATAATCTAAAACGGCCTCATCGGAATCTTCTCTAGGCTACAAAAGAACTTCATGTGCAAAGGCTTCCAGAGACAGGCCTTTCGCAGAGGCCAGCGTGCAGCCGCAAGAGAGAAGCTAGCACAGAGCAGACGAGCCCAGCAGCGAGCAGACACTGGGTCCCTTCCACAGCTGCTGCCCCTAGACGGTGGCTGCTCACCACTCGGGCAGGACGTAAACGTTCCAAGACGAAGCAACCACAGACACGACCGGATGAAGCCCACGTAACCAGAGGCAAGAAAGCTCATCTCAGTAACTTGCCTCTTATTATTAAATGAAAGCTGCTTCCTTTAAATAATGCATTAAATAAGGCAAAAACAATATTACAATTCAGTAAAAATAGTGAGTTGCACAGAAGAATGTCTTAATTTTGAACACAAACTGTATCAAACTATCTTTCGCCCACCCGTAACACTCATCTCTCACTGTTCTTTGTCCCCTAAAACAGCACAGTCCCCCCATCAAATTCCTCCAGCTAAAAATCCTGGGAGATACCCTCGACGCTTCACCCTTTTTCATGCTCCGTACTAAACCCATCAACTTTGCTTCCAAAGCACTCCTCCAATCTCCTCACTTCCTGCCACCCATCTACTTCCTTTTACCCACTGGGGACACCTCCACTGTTTCTTGCCTGGACTACTAGTTTACAAAAACCTTAACTTGTCTTGTCATGCCCACTTCCATTCCTACAATCTGTTCTTCACACTACAGAGCGATCTTGAAAAATAAAGTCTGATCTTGTCACTTCTCTCCTTAGAATCCTTCACAATAACCACTGAACTTAGGATTCTAAGACCAAAATCGAAACCACGGCCTCCAGGACTGGGACTGAGCATCCAGCTTTAACTCAGATCATTCCCCTTACCCCACCCCATCGCACCCCACCCCATCGCACCCCACCCCACCGCAGTGATTTGCACATTACATTCTGACCTTCTGAACATTCGGATGAGCCAGGTCCCTACCACCAGCACCACAGGTCTCTCTCTACACATGCTCCTCCTTCTGTGTTCAACTCTCTTCCACCCCAGATTCTCTCCCCAGTTAACTCCAACTCAGTCTTCAAAGCTCGGTTGAAGCATTACTTCTTCAGGGAAACCTTTAGGGACCCAACAGACCAGACCAGGTTTCTCTGTTACAGCCTCTCCCAAGGTCACGTCCTTCTCCTTCATCGTAATCACCTCGGTCTACAGTGGTGATTATTGGATCAGTATGTCTCACCTTTAGAGCAAAATCCACGTCTGGTGTGTGCCAAAGTAGGCGCACAATATTTGAATAAACGAGTCTATTATTTGTATGAGCTATGCCCCTACTGGATCAAGTTCTAAAAGTATAATTACAAAATCACATTGTCCAAATAATGTCCCAAATAGTCTATTCAATTCTTCCTTTGGGAAAAACAAAACAAAACCAAACCTACGTAAACTTTTTAAGAGTGTTACCTAAAAAAGTAACGACACTTTCACCTCCATCGACGACTACCAGCAGTGTGCTGGCCACAGTAGAAGTTCTGTGCTCGCAGCACTGCGGGGACTGGACTGCAGTGAGCCGGCTGTGCACCCACTGCTACAACGTCAGGGTCGGAACACAGGGCAGAGAGGAGGCACCTTCCCCATGTCCCTCAGCCACGTGATGAAACGGAAAGGAGAGTCTTCAAAACTACAAACATCTATATTCAACTCTTTGCTTGGCCTTCTCTCCCTAAACCCTTAGTTTCCCCACCTTGAAAATGGAAACAATTTCTGTGAGGAAACACTGGGGAGATTACAACAATTCAGTGAACTCACTGATGTGGAAGAATCAGGTGCACAGTAAGCTCTGGATAAACAGGTTCCGCATTTTCTCTCTGTGCACTTCTCCAGTCTGTGACGGCTCCCGAACACGGGGTTAAGGAAACGCTGGTAAGGCCAGACTTCACCCCGACTAAGTCACCTCTCAGCAGCTCTCCCTCTGCCCTGCCACACCACAGCCTGCCCCCCAAGTCCCCGTGAACGCACTCTGCGCCTCCACCCAGCCTCCTCCATCTGTGCGATACCTTTCCACCTCCTCATTGTCAAAACGTCCCCTCAACCAAGAGTGACAACTGAGTGACAGATATTTCTCATCTGTCACTTCCTTCCAGGAAGCCTCTAGACACTCAGCAGATTCCATGGAAAACCTATGACATCCTGTCGATTCTCTCTGGTCCCTGGGCACACCCATCCTATACCCGTGTTATGTTTCCAGAGATTGTGTGTGTGACCCTGGAAACTGAAGGAGATGCTGTTCTTCACACTTTGGCCCAGAAAAGGAGGCAGATCTCTTACGGATTGTACTGTACCTGGAGCTATGTATCCAGGAGCAGCTGTGGCCCCAACAAAAGCTCCCCTTGTTAAAGTTCCTCTTCCTCTGCCCCGAACAGCTTGGACTGCTGCAGACACAGCTGTGTTCACAATACCCTTTGCCTGTTAAAAATAACACATTGTCATTACTGAGAGAAATGAGAACGATCATCCTATTATTTCTGTAATGCACAACCTCTGTGAGGAACTTGAGCCTGTAGATGAGACAGTGAGAGAGTCTTCTATGACCTTAAACCTTCACTTCATCACCTGTAAAATGAACATGACACCTACCTTACAGAGCTGTTCTGGAGAATATGCTGAGCACACAGAAGTGTGCAAATAACTTTCTTTTTTAAATCCCCACCCAAGGACACGGTCATTGATTTTAGGGAGGGAGGGTGGGTGACAGATGTCAGAAAGGAACATCAGTTGCCTCTCCAGTGTGCCCTGACTGGGGACCGAACCCGCAACCCAGGTGTGTGCCCTGACTGGGAATCGAGCCTGCAGTCTTTCAGTTCACAGGACAGAGCTCCAACCAACTGAGCCACACCAGCCAGCATGCAAATAACCTCTTTTCACTTGAGGATTACTCAAAAAGTTCATTTTCTACATACAAATTTCAGTATCAAATTACAGTCAAAGTCAATTTAGGCTGACTAAAGTAATTACAGACACTTGATATCCAGGTTCAAAATCCACTACATTCCCTGCCCAGAGACAAAAAATAACATAACAACAAACCACCCAGAACAGGCTGAGAGCGTGAGTGGGTTTTTTATAAAAGGACTAAGACAAGAAGAACAAGGATGTGGGTGCCAGTTTCTGCTTGCGGTCACTAAGACCCCAGGAAGGTTGTGTGGTTCCCCTGGGCCTGTTTCTGCGGGGTGTGTGTGTTGGCAATAAATAAATACCAACTCCCAAGTCACTTCCTGCTCAAAAGTGCCCCAGACTCTGGTAAAGGCCCCTAACCTCTCACTAACGGAGCCTCCCCAGTAACCGGAAAATGACAGCGATGCCCGCTGTGCTTTCCTCACTTCAGAGCACAGAGAGCAGGTCGGAAAACAGATGTAAAACTCTGAAACATCAACCAAGTTAGTCAAGGAGTAACAGTCACAGGGCTGCTCAAACATCCATCTCCAAAACTAAAATTTTAAGAAAGTTAAAGAATATTTATTTTAAATTAACTATTACACTTATTTTTAATAAAACAGATGCAACACAAACTCAAGCTAGAAACCACTAACACTGCCTGCCATAACAAACAGGGAAGGGGCCCCCAAGCTCACTGTGTGACCAAGCCGGCAGGGCCTCAGAGCACACACATGTTCACCTCCTGCGGAGATGCCACCGTCCTCTGCTTCTCCTGGTAGCCTTGACTGCATGTGTGACTGGGCAGAAGACAGTTCCAGGTGGAATGTATCTTGCACAGAGAACTGCCATTTTTCCTCTGGGCCGAAAAAAATCCAACCCACACATCCAAAACAGACCGCTTCTTGGCTGTCAGGCACATTGAGTTTTATAGCTTCTAGTATGGAAAATTTCTAAAAATGAGAACTTCAAGCAGACATTTTCTTCTTAAGCTGTAACACAGCTTAAGTCAGAAGTAGGCAGCAACAATCTTGCAGTAACAGGGTGACTTCATACAGATCAAACTCATTCCTACTAGAACCAAACCTAACTCCCTGACAAGTCTCTGTACATAGGCTTTTTAAACACTAAAAAGAACTTACCCATTACAAGATGCGACCCATAGGAAAAACACACCAAAATAAATAAGGTAACAACTATCTTTCTAATAATTTAGAACATATTCTAGAAGATTTAGGAAAAGAAAATCAACTTTTCTCTCTACACATGTTCCTCTGCAATTTAAACACTTTATTTTTATCTCATCTCAGTAAGTTAGTTTTACTTGTTTATATTTTGAATCCTAAAATTTAAGCAGTGCTTATTCTAGTAAATAAAAGAAGTTGAATACAAAGCAAGTTTGTAACATATCCTATAATAAGCCATAGTAGAATGCCCATGTATCTGGAAGAAGAACCTGGTTTTAAAGGGAACCTGTACCACTAATCAACTATGTTACTACATGTAGTATCTTAATTTCTTGGGGCCTTGTTCCCTCATCAATAAAATGAGATCAATTCTACCCTCCTATAATGGATTCAGTATATGTAAAAGAAATTGTTTCACACAAAAATCTTAAATAATTTAAGCTTCCTTCATTTTTAATTGCTTCCTTTCTATTACATAATACATTTAGACATTATTATGCAAGCACTCTCCATGAAGAAGAGAATATGTTTTTATTTACGTATCGTTTATCCTCAAAATCATGTACATGGTATACAGATATGTCCAGAAGACATTTTTTAATGCATAAAAATGTGGCTAGAAAAATTTGTTATCCCAAAGCATGGAATTTGGAGGTCATGTTTTCCAAATACTTTGCTACAATCAAACATTCAGCAACACAGGGTCAAGTTCTGCTGTACCACTTCCAACAGAAAATCCAGACTAAATAGTGCAAAGTCAAACCTCAAAAGGAAATGGAAGAGCATCTGCAGACTCTGATGAAAGTGAGCCCAAGTCCTCTTGGCAGGTTCCCTAAACCAGATAAATGCTAACATCTCACTCAAGTCCAGATCCCCCAACACCCCACCTCATCAAGACTGACCTGAGGCCCCCAAGCAATGCTAACAGTCTCTTTTTATTGTATCATTTCAATAGAACAACCACAGAACAGGGAACCACTGACACATTTATATCACTGATGATCTAATCCAAATAAAAAGCTGCTAAATCCAAGAAAAGCAATAATTTGAGAAAAAGCTAAGTGGCACAAAACAGAAAAGGAAACAATTCTGGTAACATTTTTCAAAGGTATTACAAAGGTTTAATGCTCAACTCATACCTGAGGGATAATCTTCTTTTTCTTATTATTTGCTGCATTGGGTCCAGAAAACAGCTTCTCCAGGGCAGCTAATGCTGCACTTGCCTTTGCCACTTTCTTATTTGGACCTGCACCTCTGAATTTCTGTCCATCCACTTCTACCTAAAATCAAGAACAACACTCTGCAGTTACCCCACGCAATTCCTCTATGCAGCTTAATTCAAATGGATCGTAACACAGAAAGCACCAGAAGTCAAACAGCGCCGTGAGAAGTGCATCGGTCTATTCTGAGCTTATGTATGAGCTCAGGCTGTCCTGTGTCCTTGAGGACAAAGGCTGGCTCGCATCCAAGTACACACCTCCATCACGAAGCGTTTGTCGTGGCTCCCACCAGTCTCCGAGATGAGTTCGTACTTAAGACCTCTTCTTTTCTCATTGAGCTCCATTACAGGATTTTTGCCACTTGCTGTGAGGATAGGGCCCTGAGTTCTGACCTAAAAGAAGGTTCAGTAAGATTTCAGAGTATTAAATTTCTTATTAATACGATTATACTATGCCTCTGTTGAAAAAGAGGCTCAAAAATTGTACTTTGAAGCATTTAGAGGCCAGGGTGCATGCTCACCCTCCACACACGAAACCTGTGGAAACTGCAAGGAGCAGGCACCTGGCCAGGCTGCCTGTGAAGCGGGCCTGCCCCCAGAGAGAAGCAGCCAGGAGCGACGCTGCCTCGCCACCACAGGGCCGTCAGGGTCTGACCTGTGGCATTCATGACCCAAGAACAACCATCTAAATGACGAACAAAGTGGATGACACAGCTGAGACTTACATGACACCTGAGCATTCACCGTTTTTTCGTCGTCAGGGTTAGGAAAAAAAATAACTCAATTTAGAAAGTGGGAAGAAAATGCCCCTTCACATCTCTCAGTCTCTCCAAAGAGATTTAAGGGAACCTAAAGTAAAAACAGTGGGCTACAGACTACGGATCCTGAAATTTAAAAATAACAATAAAAGTAGTTGTTCCCTGTTCTCAAGGAGCCAGAGTAGGGTGGGAGGGCCAGAAACAGCCACTGTGAAACAATGTGCACTATAGATCAGATGTAAGCTGTAGAAACACAACAGAAGGAATCACTTTCTTGGGCCATCAGGAGAGTTTTCTGGGAAGTGACAACACGAGTCCACCCATAAAAGGGAAGTGCCACACCGTCATAAGGAGGAAACAAAGGAGAAGGGCATTCTGGACAGAACAGATAGCAGGGTGAGGAGAGTAAGGAAGAGCCCCACTGGAAACGCCCTTGATGGAGCCAAATCATAGATAAAGGACTCTGCACCACGCACATGGGCTTTGACTTTACTGTGGACAGTGCGGGGCCACTGCAAAGACATTAATCTAGGGGAGTTCATAATTAGATTCATGCTGTAAAAATTACACTAAAAATAATAAAATCAAATACAATAACAAAATAAAGAAAATTACTCTAAGAGTGGCAGAAAAAACTGACTTGCAGAAAAGTAAGAGTTGGAAGTAGAAAAGTAATTCACGTAAGAATATGAAGGCTCAAACAACTTCCGGCCAAGATGGAGGCGTAGGTAGACACACTGTGCCTCCTTGCACAACCAAAAGGAGGACAACAATTTAAAAACAAAAAAACCAGAACTGCCAGAAAATTGAACTGCATGGAAGCCCGACAATGAGTTAATAAAGAAGCATTCATCCAGAACAGTAGGAGGGGCTGAGATGGGCCACCAGGAGGAGAGGACTCACAGCAAGGTGGCACCTGGTGGACCCAGCGAGGCAGCGGATTGTGGCACAGGAGGTCCCAGATTCAAGTGTGGATAATCTGGGGGGAACAACTGAGGAGCGTGACTGAGTGGGCAACCCAGGGCTCCAGCACTGGGAAATAAAGCCTCAAACCTCTGATTGAAAACATCTGTGGGGGTTGAGGCAGCAGCAGGAGAAACCCCCAGTTTCACAGAAGAGTTAGCTGGAGAGACCCACAGGGTCCTAGAATGTACACAAACCCACCCACCCAAAAATCAGCACCAGGAAAGCCCAATTTGCCTGTGGGTATCAAGGGAAGTGACTGAAATCCGGCAGAGAGCTCAGTAAGTGGCACTGCTCCCTTTCGGACCCCTCCCCACATACAGTATCCAACCCAGCAATGTGGGTTGCCCCGCCCTGGTGAACACCTCAGGCTCTGCCCCTCACTATGTAACAGGTGCGTCGAGACAAAAAAAAGTGGCCCAAATGAAAGAACAGATCAAAGCTTCAGAAAAAAAATACCAACTAAGTGATAAAGAGATAGCCAACCTATCAGATGCATAGTGTTCAAAACACTGGTAATCAGGATGCTCACAGAACTGGTTGAATTTAGTTGCAAATTAGATGAAAAAATGAAGGCTATGCTAAGTGAAATAAGGGAAAATGTACAGGGAACCAACAGTGATGGGAAGGAAACTGGGATTCAAATCAATGGTGTGGACCAGAAGGAAGGAAGAAAAACATCCAACCAGAAAGAATGAAGAAACAAGAATTCAAAAAAAATGAGGAGAGGCTTAGGAACCTCCAGGACATCTTGAAACATTGCAACATCCAAATTATAGGGGTACCAGAAGGAGAAGAGGAAGAGCAACAAGTGGAAAAGTTATTTGAACAAATAATAAAGGAAATCCAGATTTCCCCAATCTGGCAAAGGAAAGAGACTTCCAGGAAGTCCAGGAAGCTCAGAGAGTCCCAAAGAAGTTGGACCCAAGAAGAAACACACCAAGGCACATCAGAATTACATTACCCAAGATTAAAAATAAGGAGAGAATCTTAGAAACAGCAAGAGACAAGGAGACAGTAACCTACAAAGGAGTTCCCATCAGACTGTCAGCTGATTTCTCAAAAGAGACCTTACAGGCAAGAAGAGGCTGGAAAGAAGTATTCTAAGTCATGAAAGGCAAGGACCTACATCCAAGATTGTTCTATCCAGCAAAGCTTTCATTTAGAATGGAAGGGCAGATAAAGTGCTCCTCAGATAAGGTCAAATTAAAGGAGTTCATCATCACCAAGCCCTTATTCTATGAAATGTTAAAGGGATTTATCTAAGAAAAAGAAGATAAAAAATATGAACAGTAAAATGACAACAAACTCACAATCATTAACAACCACACTTAAAACAAAAAGTAAACTAAGCAAACAACTAGAACAGGAACAGAACCACAGAAATGGAGATCACATGGAGGGTTAGCCACAGAGGAGTGGGAAGAGGAGAGAGGGGGAAAAGGTACAGAGAATAAGTCGCATAGACAGTAGGGAGAAAACAGACAGGGGGAGGGTAAGAATAGTGTGGGAAATGTAGAAGCCAAAGAACTTACATGTATAACCCATGGACGTGAACTAAAGGGGGAGAGTGTGGGTGGGGGGTGTGCAGGGTGGAGGGGAGTGAAGGAGGGAAAATGGGACAATTATAATAGCATAATCAATAAAATATATTTTTTAAAAAAGAAATATGGAGGCTCAAATGATGAGAGAAGTTAGCCCAAAAATAAAACAAACCACAAAAGCTACAACTATAATTTTGAGAAAGAAAAGACCCCAAAACTGAGTGCTTTTTGAGGTCAGAGATCATGCCTTTAATTCCACCACAGTAACTGCTCAAGAAATGCCGAAACAATGAATGCCCAAAGAATCACTATATGTAAACCCAATGGACCACAAGCCTCTTAATGAGTACTCTGTGTTGATTTGATAAGTGCATGATGCTGTAGAAGTAAAACACTGGATTATTGTTAAAGACATATTTAATAAACATTTCTGGGTCTTCTGCAATAAATATCACTTCTTGAAGAGTTTTCATAACCTGTATTTTTAAAATTTCAAGGCAAATTTCCAATCTCCAGTTTTAAAAGATAAGTATTTTAGGTCCACGGTAATATCTCTCTGCTTTTCAAATCTGAAATCATTTTTATAAAAATGAGCCAAGACATAAAAATATTTGCCTTTCTGATCACTGCCACTTTACATGAAGAACAGGGCTCTGTCCCCTCCCCGCCAATACTGCATCACACAGAAACAAAGCACTGATGTGTTAACCACGAAAACGTCCACAGACTCATGGCTGCTGCTAGTGCAGCCCACACTGCTCTCCCTTCTAATTCCCTTTGAGATTTAACTGTCTGAGCCTCGTAAGTAATGAGCTCATTCTCTTCTGAGTGTCAGTATTTCTAGCACTGCCAGCAAAACACCTTGCCCTGCCTGAGACTACCACCTGTGACTGGCTGGTCCCCTGAAAAACCAGGTACGTCTTCTGTCCTCCACACCACACGAAGAGTCAGGCACGGTTTTTACAAGTCTCAGGCCCCACCAGGACCCCCAAACTGGCCCACCTGGCACGTCTAAACATTTTTTCACAACTCCTTTACACCTACAACACCTCTGACCTAGAATGCCTTCTTTCCACCTCTTCCCTAAAAAATGTTACTCATCATCTAAAACCTAGCTCACATTTTACTTCCTTTGATTTTGCATGTGTGTAAGTTTGACAATCACTTGCTCCTTGGAAATTTTACATTATACTCGTTTTGCAATCAGAGAGCTTATCACATTACAGTATAATCAGTTACAGAATGTCCTTTGTCCTTCCAGCCTGGGGGCATCTTGGGGCTCTGGGGGCACTTTCTGCAGCAGCTGGGAGTAAACAGGTACTAACGGGGGATTTATAAACTGACAAAATATATAGTCCTTAATAAACACTCATTCTTACAAATGAAACATTTTTTAAAATGTCAATGTAAGCCCTTGCTGTTACCTGAAAGCCAATTTTTCTTACATAGAATGCAACAAACAAGGGCCCCGCGAGTTCCCAAACATTCTGTCACTGCTCAGTGCCCGGCCTGTGTCCCACCCTGCTGTCTCGGGCAACAAGCTCCCTGTCAGGACCTCCCCAGAGGATGAGGGACGCCCAGGTCAAGCTACGCCTTCCGCAGGGCCGGTCCGCCTCAGTGAAGACCCACTGCCACCAGCTCAGCACAGACTCCAAATAATCCTGAATCTCTTCAACGAGATCTTTTGTTTTTTTTGGTGTTCAGTTATTGTTAGTATACTTGTTAAATGCAGCAAAAGGGAAATGCTAGTTAAATATGTTGTGTAGTACATAGCACATTTACAGATATTTTTAGAAATGGAAAAAAAACTAAGATGTAAAACTGCATAAAAATGACTGCCTTCAAAAAAAAAAAAACCCACTTAACACAAACAGCCTGGGTGGAAATAAACTAAAATATTAATAATGGCTGCCTCTGGAATATATGTTTGAATACGCTTTTGATTTTATTTGTATTTCCCCACATCTCTCAAATTCTCTACAATGGATATTGTTTTCTAAGGAAAAATTACGTAAGTATACCTCTAAGGTACTGGAGGTTTCAGTTGTAGAATTTCCAGTATTATTGCTTGAGTTTGAAGACACGGTTTCATTTTTGCTTTCATTATCTGATTTTTCATCGGAACTCATACATTCAATGTCTGCATCAAAGCCTGTTGGGTATCCCATTGCCTGTAACACCTGTACAAATCACATTAAGATTCAGTTTTATTAAAAAACTAAACACCACAGAGAAGAGATGAACTACTGAGAACAACAATTTCAAATTCACAGCATCTGAAGCCATGAAACACCTTATAGGAAGAGAGGGATGGTACATAATCCTTGTTCTTACCGATCAGGGTATCCCCACTGAACGCGATTTTCAACCTTTGTCATCTCCTGGTACACATAGAGTAAATGCTAAAATTCTGTAGCACACCAAGAAATATATTTTTTTTGCCAATCTAACAAAACATAATAGGTATAATTTTGATACATTCACAGCAGATGGCTATTGTTGTATTGGCTATTGTCATTTTATTTGACAATCTAAGAGAAAAGAGGTCAGTGCCCCTGACTAAGTAGTCAGGAATTTCATGTTTTAAAAGTTCTGTGGCTCACCAGCTCAAAAATGCTGCCATAGAAAATGGGAAAAGCTCTCTCAGAGTAACTAAGTTTATATAAAGGATGATGGAAATGCAAACCCAAGGTTGCTCCTGGTTCATTTAACTTGGAGGTAAAAGGCAGAGAAAGTAAACAGCACAGCCAAGTTCAACCAATGGCGTGAGGGAAAAAGTAAAACAGTACATTGTAAACAACTACCCTGGACTGGAAAGGAAAAGACAGGAGGGTCTAATCCTGTATTTCTCCACTGGTCCTCGATTTTCCAGTTTGCAAGAAAGGACTTCTAGATTCCATGATTACATCCATTAGGAGAAATTAGCACAGAAGGCAATCAAGAAGTTCTCTTTACCCTGGAACAAATCTGCTGGTCCACCACAAAATAATATCTGAAGCTTTCTACTACTGACCTCTTTGCTTTTAACTTAAAGCACAACTGAGATCTGGAAGAGAAGATGCAGTCTCCAGGTGCACTCTCTATACCGAGTGCCCGGGAGCAGTTCCAGTTCTGTATCTCCACCCCTGCCTCACAAGGACCTCCACGGCTCTCTCCGGTGGTCATTCTTCTTGCAGTTCCACTCAGTGCCCGGCCTTTTCAAAATACACCTCTTTTAAAATAGGTTTTCAGAAATGTGTGTTTACACACAAGCAAGAGAATTTGTTCTCTGGCATTTTTATAAGTCTCTTTTAAACAGGTTGATACTGGACTGTCAGTTACTAATCTAAAGGTTTGTATCAGAAAATGTAGAGATAGGTTCCTAAAGGTCCCTGTATTTGTTTTACTTTTCAACTGTTTTAAGTTGCTGGAATGTAAAAGCACATCATATTTCTTTACAATCCCAGCTATACCTAACGGGGGTCTCTTAAAAAACAACCCTGAAAACTGACACAGTGGTGTCCAAACTGCGGCCAGTGGGTCAAAATGTGGCCCAGGATGGCTGTGAATGCAGCCCAACACAAAATCATAAATTTATGTAAAACATTATGAGACTTTTTTTGTGCTTGCATGTCACAATGTATTTAATGTGTGGCCCAAGACAACTCCTCTTCTTCCAGAGTGGCGCAGAGATGCAAAAAAGTTGGACACCCCTGGTAGAGAATGCCAGGGGTAGGGACTTGGGGAGGAGATTCTCCACAAAGGGACATGAGAAAACTCTTTGGGTGAGAGAAATATTTTACATCTTGAGTGAGTTAGTGGTTACATGATTATAATCGTACAAAAACGATTACCAGTTACATGCATAAGTTATACCTCAATGAAGTTGGTTTTTATAAGACAAAAAAAAAACACCCCTATTTTGATAATCACACAAATGACTAGCCAGGCAGGCCAGCCTTTATAAACAATGTCATCTTATCTAAATAAAATAGTTATTACTCTAAACAAAAAATGAGCACAAGTAGAACTCTGTACCAAGAGTACTTGAAATTAATTCATATGGAAAATGTGCCATTCTGTTGAACACTTCGAATCACAAAAAAATTGCTTGTATTAAATGAGAATAAAGTCAGCTTCTAAAAGTAGTCAGGTAATACATCATTTGGTTTTATCCTTATTGATGTTTTAGAAAGAAAACACCTTCTCCAGTGAGTACTGCAAATATGCTCTTTCTGCGAAACCTCATTTCTGGGAGAATACTTATTAGTCTAACACCAGCTAACAAGCTGCAGGTCAAAAGCCGAGAGTCATAGGTAAATGTGATTTGTTAATTCCCAATTTAACACAGTTAAAATTGTCACATAAATTACTTAATACCACTTCTATCTGCCCTTTTCTCAGATACCAACGTTCAAAAACATATGTTGGAAACTCTCTCAAATTCACCCAAAACCTGTAGTGTGGTATTTACCTGTTACTGTAGTAACTTATTTCAATACATTTGTAAATAATTTATATATGAAGGGGGACCCCCCAAAAACAGAATTATCTTCCAGAGGGCGGGCCCCTTGTAGTACAGGCTTCCCCCACCAGGTGAGTGTTCTAGGAACCCATCTGTATCAGTGCACCAGCTGGTGCTGTTCTGAGAGGCTGCATTCAGCTTCAGTGAATTTTTTTTGAAGACTCCATCAACACACTTGCCCCTTTCATGATGGGTGATTTAGGGGTACGCCTGCCCACACTGCACTGAGTGTTCAGCAGTTTTTGACCAAACATGGCATGACCCCTGTGCCCCACAATCCCTAATTCTATCTCACCCCAAATGACTTTTTTTTTTTGTTTCCCCCATATGAAAAAAAGTCCTCAAAGGAAAACGTTTTGTGGATGTGGAAGAGGTGAAACAAAAAACGGCAGAAACACTAAAAGGTGTCAAAATCAATGAGCTCAAAAACTGCTTTGAGTGGTGGAAAAAGTCCAGATAGATGTATTGCATCAACTAAAAGAGGACTTTGAAGGTGACTGAAGTTTAAATATGTAAGAATAAACACACAATTTTTTTATAAATAATCCAGGGTTGTTTGGGGGGTTCCCCCTCATAGCTGATAATCTCAAGGGATACAGTATACTTGTAATGCAGCTCAATTGACAAAAATTTCAAATTCATTTTTTTAAATATACTTTGATTATGCTATTACAGTTGTCCCATTTCCCCCCCTTCACTCCCCTCCACCCTGCAAACCCCCACCTCCCACCCACATTTTCCGCCTTTAGTTCATGTCCATGGGTCATACATATAAGTTCTTTAGCTTCTATATTTCCCATATTATTCTTACCCTCCCCCTGTCTGTTTTCTCCCTACCATTTATGCGACTTATTCTCTATACCTTTTCCCCCTCTCTCCCCCTCCCACTCCCCTGTGGCTAACCCTCCATGTGATCTCCATTTCTGTGATTCTGTTCCTGTTCTAGTTGTTTGCTTAGTTTCCTTCTGTTTTTGTTTTAGGTGTGGTTGTTAACGATTGTGAGTTTGCTATCATTTTACTGTTCATATTTTTTATCTTCTTTTTCTTAGATAAATCCCTTTAACATTTCATAGAATAACAGCTTGATGATGATGAACTCCCTTAACTTGACCTTATCTGAGGAGCACTTTATCTGCCCTTCCATTCTAAATGAAAGCTTTGCTGGGTAGAGCAATCTTGGATGTAGGTCTTTGCCTTTCATGACTTAGAATACTTCTTTCCAGCCTCTTCTTGCCTGTAAGGTCTCTTTTGAGAAATCAGCTGACAGTCTGATGGGAACTCCTTTGTAGGTAACTGTCTCCTTGTCTCTTGCTGTTTCTAAGATTCTCTCCTTATTTTTAATCTTGGGTAATGTAATTCTGATGTGCCTTGGTGTGTTCCTTCTTGGGTCCAACTTCTTTGGGACTCTCTGAGCTTCCTGGACTTCCTGGAAGTCTCTTTCCTTTGCCAGATTGGGGAAGTTCTCCTTCATTATTTGTTCAAATAACTTTTCCACTTGTTGTTCTTTCTCTTCTCCTTCTGGTACCCCTATAATTTGGATGTTGCAATGTTTCAAGATGTCCTAGAGGTTCCTAAGCCTCTCCTCATTTTTTTGAATTCTTGTTTCTTCATTCTTTCTGGTTGGATGTTTCTTTCTTCCTTCTGGTCCACATCATTGATTTCAGTCCCAGTTTCCTTCCCATCACTATTGGTTCCCTGTACATTTTCATTTATTTCACTTAGCATCACTTTCATTTTTTCATCTAATTTGTGACTAAATTCAACCAGTTCTGTGAGCATCCTGATTACCAGTGTTTTGAACTGTGCATCTGATGGGTTGGCTCTCTCTTTTGTTACTTAGTTGTATTTTCTATGGAGTTTTGATCTGTTTTTTTCATTTGGGCTTTTTTTTTTTGGTCTCAACATGCCTGTTACATAGTGAGGGGTGGAGCCTTAGGTATTCACTAGGGTGGGGCAACTCACCTTGCTGGGTTGTGAAGCTGTATATGGGGGAGGGATCCAGAGGGAACAATGCCACTTACTGAGCTCTCTGCTGGATTTCAGTCACTTCCCCCGCTACCCACAAGCAAATGGGGCCCTTCTGGTGCTGATTTTTGGGTGGGTGGGTTTGTGTATGTTCTAGGACCCTGTGGGTCTCTCCAACGAACTCTCCTGTGAGGCTGGGAGTTTCTCCTGCTGCTGCCTCAACCCCCACAGATGTTTTCAATCAGAGGTTTGAGGCTTTATTTCCCAGTGCTAGGGCCCTGGGTTTTGCACTCTGTTCTGCTCCCCAGGTGCTCCTCCCAGTTTATCTGAGCGAGAATGTGGGACTGCCTAGTCTACAATCTGCCCCCACCTCCCAGGTCTGCCCGCTGCTGCCTTGTGCGCCCAGCTCCGCAATCTGCTGCCTCACTGGATCCACCAGCCGCCGCCTTTCCCGCCCGAGTCCACCAGCCACCGCCAGAGACCACGAGTGCTCTCTGCCCAGCTGCCTGTCTCCATCTCTCCTACTGGTCTGGATGAATGTCTTCTTTAACTCCTTGGTTGCTGGACTTCCATACCATTTGATTTTCTGTCAGTTCTGTTTTTTCCTTTTAAATTGTTGTTGTCCTTCTTTTGGTTGGGCGAGGAGGCACACTGTGTCTACCTACACCTCCATCTTGGCTGGAAGTCCCAGTCATTTTCTATGAACACATTCTAAGATTATTAACGACTATATGCTATAAAAGTAAAATTTTAAAAAAAGTAGTTTTCAGACCTGTAGAACCAAAGTTTGTTTGGAACGAATATTAAGGCCCAAAACCTGCTATACCAAAGAAAAGTCAGTTTCAATGTCTAGCAAAACAAATTCAAAGGGGGTTCAGACTGAGAAAGATGACCCCCTCAAAGAACAGGGTCCAAGAATGAAAACACCTAAGAACACATTCTACCCCATGGCTCTCCACTCAAAACAAAGTCCCATTCATGACTTCTAACAGAAATTTAATGGCTTCCAAGGACCCCTCCAAGGAGCCTTCTCTCCTTGTCCTCTTCTAGCTGATCTTTTCCCCACAATGAATAAAATTCATTTCATGAAATATGGTTGATTTTGTCCCTAAAGGTGCTCTTTATGAAGGGCTCTAAGGAAAAAGAACTGGAAGAGGAAAGGGAAGACTGGTTACTTTAGGTTGCCTATTGCTGAGCAGCCAGGTTCTTGTGGCAGAAACCGATCTCTCCTTGTTTTGTTTTGATTCTGTGGTGTTATTTGTCTTAACAGGTACAGACACCTACCAATCAACTGGGTAAGGAATGCAGGGACTTTTATCAACTGGGACCTACTTTCAAAGAAACATATGTTGGATATGAAATTCTCTCAAACTCATACAGAACCTGTAATGTGGTAGAACCTTATGGATGGCAATTTGGAAATATATGCCTGACATTAATAGAGATCCCACTATATATTTAATGAATTAATGGATTATTAAAATTTGCTTTCTTCTTGACCTAGTAACTCTAGAATATATTTAAGGAATAATCAGACCAGTTCAAAAAGATGTAAAGCAATCAACTGGAAGCATCTAAATCTGAAAGGATTAGTGACATTGTGATAGAAGGGTAATAATGATATATTAGGCCATTAGTAAAAAGGAGAAGAATTTTTGTGATAACTATAAAAAGCTCAATAATTTTTAGATGAACATAAAAAACATAACTGTATTTTAAGTATGTATTTTGTAGGTCCCATCATTCCTTACCTGCAACCCTGGGGGCCAGATTGTTTTGAGAGTAACTTTTCAAAATTTAGAAAGCTACTACAATGTATTTACTACATATTTTCAGAATTTCCGGTGGTATCTCAGGTGCTACCCCATGTTTGGACAAAGAAATATATAAAATATCCACAGTACTTAGAATACTAAAGACTAAAAATAGCCATATGTCAACATCAACAGTTCAGGTGTTCCCATCTAGTGAGTATGCATGAAACTTAGGAAGTATTTTTCATTTTCAGTGCTTTTGGATTTTGAAATTTCAGGTTAAAAGTGGGAGGGGGGAGTAACTACCAAAATGTTAATGCTTATTATGGAAACAAACAGCATCTAAATTTTGTCACATTGCAAAATTTGCCACTCTACTAACCTCCCCGAACTTTACTGAATTGCAACTTGCTACGAAGCCACTACCTTATATTAAAGATTATTATAAAAACCCCACAAACTCTATCTCTGTATCACAGGCACCTTTAAAGGCTATCACTGCTATCCCTTTTTATGAAGATCTTCCCAAGGAGAATGACCACCTGACCTTCGTACCGAAACAACTGTGACTCCCAATTGACTGTCCATTATGCCACAGACAGCGGGTTCGTATCTCACATGCGTTTTGTGTGAGATGCTAGAGAACTTAGGTCTGTATCTGTTACTTATCTGCAGCATCCATTATAGCTAAATTATCAAACTATATTTTTAGCCTTATTCCTGGATTCACTTTCCCCCCTCATTCTTGGTTTTCTTCTGCTGCTTCATAAGCTCATACTATTTCATCATACCTGAAATACCCCTTTTATAAACAAGACAGAACATTAACAATATACTTTTATATTTTTAAAGGTTTGTTATTATTTTTCTGCATTGTTCTTATTATTACCTGACATGTAATTTATTCATTTATGTTTATATATTTGTTGTCTGTCTCCCCATCCTATCACACTGGAATCCAAGCTCCAGGAGGGCAAAGACTTTGTTCACTGTTGTATCTTAAGATTCTAGAATAACGTTTGCATATGCACTAATAATATTTGCAAGATGGAATCATCATGAAAACAGACCAATTATATCTTATGCCATACTTTACATAACAGAATTGTTCTTAAGTGAAAATTGATCTTCATACATGATTTTTGAGATTTTCACATTTGTCAGCAAAAGGTCAAAGGTATCTTAGAGAGATTCTACTATTTAGGAATTTTCTACAAACCTACAAGAATGACTAAATGGTTCGGTCCTGGACCCTACTCCCTATGGAAATACTCTGAAATGCAGAAAAGGCACCACGCACAAAGATGATGATCAAAATTTACTTATGACAGAAAAAATCTGCAAACAGCCAAATTTGCAATGATAGGGAAATGTTTAAACATAACAGTACATCCATACCATGTTACTCATACAATTATAATACTATTTATGAAGCATTTAATACATAAACACTCATGACATTTTAAATGAAGGACAGCAGAGGATAAAATTACATATACTCTATAAGCTCAACTTAAAAAAGAAACAAAAAACCCAACATATATATATATATATAAGTACTAATCATCTGCCTCAGAGATATGCAGCTGACGTTTTTATTTCTTCATTTCTGTGTTTTCCAAATTTTGTATAATCAACATATATTTCACAGCCAAAATATTTTGTGGCCCAGAGACAACAAAACTACATTATTAAAGTCTTTAAGAATTCTGCTGATTTACAGTAGGAAAATAATCTCCTTATTTACAACATAAAACAACAAAGCACTAGTAAGTAAAAGACATACAATACCTTCACTGCTACATGAAGTTTTGCTGTTTTCTTGGATGGTCCTGAGGCTTCGTATGTTGTGCCATCCACATCTACAGACATTGTAAAGACAGGAGCATGGACGGGGCCAGACTGAGATAAGAGCTTGTACTGAAGCCCTGGCCTGATCTGATTTAGCCTCATTAGTGCATTCATAAGGTCTATTGCTTTACTATCCAGAACTGTTAAAGAAAGAAGAGATCAGAAATCAAAACATTTTGCTTTAATCTATGCATTTGTAGAGTTCTAGTGACCACTATAAATTCATCAGATTTTTTAAAAGCAAGAATTTAAAAACACCTATAAAAATTAACTTCACTTCATAAATAGTTCTAAAATCATTTTTGAATTATGATGCTAACATCACAGTAAAAGTAATATGCATTATTAAAGCTACACATTAATTTTAGTTTGCCAATATTAACATATCCTAAGCCAGCGATTTTCAACCAGTGTGCCAAAGTATTATTAAAACATGCAATACCTGACTATTTAGTCAGGGGCACTAACCTCTTAGATGGTCAAATTAAAAAAAAAATGACAATAGCCAACACAGCAATAGCCATCCAGTGTGAAAGAATCAAATTATACCTATTTTTTGTCAGATCAGCAAAAAAATATTTATTTTTTTGTATGTTGCAAAATTTTAGCAATTAGTTTATATGTGCCATGAGATAAAAAAGGCTGAAAATCACTGTCCTAAGCAATGAAGCTTGGGAAGAAAAGTTATGTTATTCAAACACTGATTTCTCAGTAAAGACCTATTCTAGCTACCTCAATTCAAATCAATCGAATTCTTCACTCTGTAATTTTTATTTTCCTAAGACTAAATGTTTTCTAGTTAACATCTATAAGAATAAAGATTTTATATACTTTTCCTTAAATTTCGTTTCATCTTCTTATTTGGATCTTTATCATCCCCTAATCCATCTTCAAATGGCCTCTTCAGAGCTGAAGACCCAGCACCTAAAGAATTACAAGAGACTCATTAGCAGTCAAAACAATGATTTTACTTCTACCAAATGTACCCAATATGTTCAAGAAGGGAAACCCTAAGAATCACAAGGAACAGAGCACTCTCCACTGAACAATTAAATTACCATATTTATAATCTTGTAATAGCAAAAACTTCTGAAGTGCATCTTTATGAAACAATTTAATATTACTCATTTTTATAAATATTTCTTTCTCCCATTCTTTCACACAGCAAATACAAGTACCTATGCACATATTCACATCTGCATATGCATGAACAGAAAAAAGTGGGGAAAGATATCAAAATGTTGAAGGAAGCAATCTCTGGTACTAGAATTTATTTTTACTTATGTCTTTTCAAATATTTCTATAATTTAACATTTGCTACTTGTATAAATTTTTAAAGCTCACATATTCAATCTTAGGCCTTTGGAAATCTGATTATTTTTCACACTACAAATATTCTTCTGTCTGCCTATTTGAATCCTATTTAAAATTTTATTTACAGTTCATCTCTTCCATGAAGTTTTCTTCAACTTCTAATTTCAGCTTTCTAAACCAGTTTCTATAGTATCAGAAATATAAAGTATCCTATGTGGTGGTATGTCATTGACTATTTCATATATAGAGGTCTTGTGCTTCCTCAGCACTCTATGAAGATCAAAAATATTTTGTCCCTGTCTTTTATCTTAAAAACTAATATAAGACTTAAACAGTATTAGAATCAAAAGAGAACCAACCATATAGGAAAGCATGTTTGCAGGTACCTCAGACAAGGATCTAATCTCTAAAATACATATAAAGAAGTCATACAAGTCTACTCCAGGAAGACAAACAACCCAATTTAAAAACGGGCAAAGGACCTGAACAGACACTTCTCTAAGGAGGACATACGAAGAGGGCCCAGAGACATATGAAAGGATGCTCAGCATCACTAGCCATCAGAGAGATGCACATTAAAACCACAGTGAGATACCACTTCACACTGGTCAGAACAGCCATCATAAATCAACAAACAAGTATTGGAGAGGTTGTGGAGAAAAGGGAACCCTAGTGCACTGTTGGTGGGAATGCAGAGTGGTACAGCCACTGTGGAAAACAGTATGGAATTTCCTCAGAAAACTAAAAATGGAACTGCCTTTTGACCCAGCAAGACCACTGTTGGGATTATACCCTAAGGATCTTGAAACACCAATTCAAAAGAACCTATGCACCCCAATGTTCATAGCTGTACAATTCACAATAGCCTAGTGCTAGAAGCAACCTAAGTGCTCATCAGTAAATGAGTGGATAAAAAAACTACAGGATATTTACACAGTGGAATACTATGCAGCAGAAAGAAAGAAGGAGCTCCTACCCTTTCCAACAGCATGAATGGAACTGGAAAGCATTCTGCTAAGTGAAATAAGCCTGGTGGTGAAAGACAAATACTATATGATCTCACCTATAAATGAAACCTAATCAACAAAACAAGTAAGCAAGCAAAATACAACCAGAGACATTGAAATAAAGAACAATCTAACGGAGAGGAGGAGGGAGATGAATAATAGGGGATAATGGTGGGGGAGGAGGCCATCAAGGAACATGCATGAAGGACACATGGACAAAGCCAAAGGGGGTGGGTTTGAGGGCGGCAGGCAGGGACAGTGGAGCAGGGGGGTGTGGTGGGGTGAAAATGGAGACAAATGTTCTCCAACAACAATAAAAAATAGTATTTTAATTAAGAAAAAAAAACCCTAATAGAAGACTTAGAAACAACATAATGGGTCTGAAACAAAACTAACTGATATTATGCAATTTCTTGGGTAAAGCAGCTATTCATACTGTTGTCAGGCATAAGGCTTTGCTGTCCAAGTTAAAGCCAATCAGAGAAAAGTTCATCAACCTGTCCAAGTATTTTAAAGAACTCTGTGCCTTCAACTTAAAAACTGGTTGTTGGGTTTTTCCTCAAGGAAAGTTATGTTCAAGAGATTCATGCCACAAGACTTCCAGATACTCCTAGTGAAACCTTGTAATAATACCAACAATAACTATGTATTCTCTGATCATCAAGATTTATTGCCCCTTGGAGTGAACATTTGACTTCAGCACTTGCTTGAGACAATGCTTATCACTCAGGTCAATAAATCTTGATGTTCTCTTCTACAGAAGGCACTATCTGTTTATATCTGCTTAGTATTGTATTTCACTCGCATTACATAAAACTGAGTGTGCCAGTCTCCCTGAATGCCATCTTTAAGAGATAAAAGTTCAAAGGGAACAAAATATACTCAGTCATTCAATCACCCATTAAGTTACATTAAAAGCTGCTCCCTGATTGTGTGGAAATCACAAACTGGCTTAAAGGCACAGATCTATTCTCTAAATTCTCCAGCAACAGATTTCATGGATTAAGCTTCAGTCTCCCACCCAGCCATTGTAAAACAGCTACAAAATCTGGAGGAGGGGAATGAGAAGTGATTATTTAAGAGGAAACAATTTTTGAAAATAATATGAGCACTTACCATATGCCTGGCACTGTTCTTAACACCTTATATGTATTAACTTATTTAATCATCACCCTTTGAGGCCTGTACTTTTATCATCCTCATTATAGTACCATTCATGAATTCACTCAGCAACAAATATTAATTGAGCATTTTCTATGTGCAGGATAATTTTAGGTGCTTGACAAAGAGAACAGATCAATGTTTCAAAGAGCTTATGCAAGGTGGCTGGAAACTATTACAACACGTCCTACGGTTCTGAATACAATGAAGAGAAATAAGAGGCTTAAGGGGAAGGAGGTGTTGCTATTTTATTTTTAGTGTTCATCAGAAAGGTCAAAAAGGTATTGCTGATCAGGTGACCTTTTGATGAAGACTTGAGAGAAAATAAGATTGAGCTATTCACTATGTGAGGAATGAGCCCCAGGCAAAGATAACAGCCAAGTACAAGGGTCACAGACAGGAACTAGCTGGGAAATAGCACAAAGGCCTGTGTGATTGGAGTGACAGGAACCATGAGGGGACGGTGGCTAAAGAGGAGGAGAGGCAGTAGTTCTGAACCCCAGCTGCCACTAATTAATTCACTAGAGGAACTTTTACAAAATATAGAAGTTCCATTTCCAGTATGACAAAATAAGTATATTGAAAAAGCCTTCCTGATGTGAGTAATGAGCAAAAATATAGGATAAACATATAGTCCTAGAAAAGAAGGATTATAGAGTTAAGGTCTGAGAGATGAAAGAAACCCTGCTTTGGAGGCAACATTTCCTCTAGGGGCATCTTCCAATTCCAGAAACATCAGTAAGAAGTAGTACTTTTTAACAGGCACCAAGCTCTCACTCAGGGGGCCAGAAACTGAAGTTTGAGGACCACCAAAGAGCGGAGGCCTGATGAATCCGTCGCACTGTGCCTGGGCCTCCACAATGCCATACGATAGAAGTAAGATGAAGAATACACAGTCTGGATCTCCTAAGGACTGAAGCCCAGCTTCAGGTCACCTTAATCCCTAATGGCATTATAATGACCCAGGATTGACAATTCCACTAGCCAGCTCCCAGAAACAAATACAAATCTGCCCAAGAGAAGGCATTACTACTTTAAGCTTTAAATTCTCTACACCTTTTGCATCTTAAGTCTCTAATATTCATAATAGACATATAAGATATTATTATCAAAAATCAAGAGAAGGAGCAGACAACAGAAACAGAACCAAAAGAGATTCAGATGATGGAGCTTTCAAAAACAAATTTTATTAAAAATAATAATTAGAATGCAAAAAAAAGTTAAAAAACAAGAATTTCTGGAAGAAAATCTGAACCTATAAAAGAAGCAAAATTCTAGAAGTGAAAAATATAAATTAAAACTAGCAGACCTGCAAGGGGAAAGAGACAATCCACTATAGAAGGAAATTGCTATACCTCTTTCAATGAGCAAATGTAACATGACATGTAAAGAACATTCTGACCACCAACTGTAGAATGTACATAATTTTCCAGACAGAATCACTTACAAAAACTAAGTACTGGGACATAAAACATGTCTCAAGAAATATCAGAGTAAAAATACACATCAAAGGACAGAAATCAAACAAAGCATGTTCTTGGAGTAGAGAAGAGTAAGTGGGAACTCAAAAATAAAGATAACTAAAAAATCCTCACCTGTCTGGAAATTAAGCTATGACAACATTAAAATAGCTCCTGTGTCAAATAACTGATAATGAGGAAAAACAAAAACTGTTTTAACTAAGTAATGATAAAAATGCTAATGTTAAAAGAGTGTAAGACACGTAAGTCTGGGCTTAAAGGAAGACCTGAGGTTAGAAAATTCAGTAACATATTCATCAATCTCAAAAAGTTAAAATAATAGCAAATGAAACCCAAAGAAGGTAATAAGGAGGAAAAAACAAAGAGCAGAAGTCAATGAACAGATGCAAGCACATGCCAGAAGACAATCAACAAAGCCAAAGTAGGTTGATTTTTTTTTAAAAGACTAATAAAACCGATAAACCTCTAGTGAGAATGCTCAGGAAAAAGAGGAGGAGCAAAGTATAAAAGAGGACATCATTACAAATACTGCAGACAATAAAAAGATAAGAGGATCCATAAGTTTATGTACGTTTATAAAACTATTTTTAAGTTTTCATGAAATGGATAAATTCCTAGAAAAACACAATTTATCAAAATTCTCATAAGAGTATGCCTATTAAGTAAATTAGACCCATAATTTAAAACCTTTCCACAAAGCAAACCACGTGCTCAAATGTCTTCACTGGTAAATTTTTCCAAACATTTAAGGAAGAAATAAGTAACATCAATTTTACACAAACTCTTACAAGGAACAAAAAAAGGGACACTTTCCAACTCACTTTACCAGGACAACATAACCTTAGAGGCAAAACCTGACAAAACATTACACCAAAGAAAAATTGCTGGTCGATCTCACACACAAATATGTGTTTTTGTGAATTGCTTACAAAAGTCTATGCAAGATTGTTCATGCTAGCTTTATTTGAGAGTCAAAAACTAGAAATAAACAAAATTCCCTACAAATACATGCATGGTTAAATGAACTCTGGCTCATCCATGTCCTGTAACACTACTCAGCATAAAAAAGAACCAACTACTACTGACCCATGCAACAACGTGGACGGGCCACAGGGGAATTACACGGGGGATGGGAGGGAAGATCTCAAAAGATCACACCGTGTGTAACTCCTCAAAATGACAAAAGTCTATAAAGAGAGAAAAATCAGTGGTTTCCAGAACTTAGGGGTGGTTAAGAGGCGAAAAGAGGGCACAACCATAAAGGGGCAGCATGCGAAGATCTGACTGGTAACAGAACAGTTCCTGTTTGCGATGGTGGTTCACAAACTACACATGTAATAAATGTTAAGAAACATATACACACACAAGGTACCAATGTCAAGTTCTTGCTTTTGATACTGTACTACAACATAAGATATAACTATTCAGAGAAACTGACTGAAGGATGGATGGGGACTCTCTTCACTAATTAGGCAACTTCCTGTGAGTCTGTATTTTAAGACAAAAGTTAAGAAATAAGACAAGAACTGCTGCTTGTTGAGGACAGACAACCAGGGCCAAGTCAGAAGTAGAAAGACCAGACAGAGAAGTTACAACAACAATCCAGGTGTGAGATGATGGCAGCTCAGGACAGGGTGTCCGCAGTAAAGAAGTTAAAAGAAATAGCTAAATTCTGGATACACTTTGAAAATAAAACAGGATTTGTTGATAATTTGGATATGGAGGAAGGAGAGAGAGAATTCAAGGGTCAAAGTTTTTGCCTGAGTACACAGGAGGATGGAACCTCCAATGACTGGCATAGTGAACACCATGGAAAGAGTGTATCAGAGGTAGTGTAAGGACGGACAGAAATTTGGATTTTAGACATCTTAAGTTTGAGATGGCCGTTAGACATCCATGTGGGGAACTGAGGGGGCATTTGGACAACTTGGTCTGAGGCCAAGGGCTGGCAGTCTGGAGGGGAAATATAAATGTGGGAATCTTCAATAAACAGAAAGTATTTTAAGACAGAATGAGATCTCCTAAAGGGCTGATTTTATATCATTAAATGATTAAAGAGGAGTGGTCTGAGGCCTGCACCCTGGGACACTTTAATACTCAGAAGTCAGGAAGATGGGGAAGAACAAAGACAGTTGAGCAAAGGACAGTGGGGCAAGAAGAACTAAGAGTCAGTAACGACCTAGAAGTCAGATGAAAAGTAGTACTTTGTGTCAAAAAAGTGTCTTCCAACACCAAATGTTGTTGGGGATATATAGCAACAGAATCTTTTATACATTGCTGGTGGGTGTGTAAGTGATCACAGCAACACTGTGGGTGGTTGCCAAATAATGAGAACCCAAATGTCCTTCAAAAGAAGAATGAGTAAGTTATAGTACATTTATTATGGATACTATACAGCCATTAAAATGAACAAACTGTAGCAATATTCAGGAACGTGAGTGTATCCCAAACAACACTGGATAGAAAGCCAGTCCCAAATGATTAAGCTAAGTACAATTTCTTTTCTATAAAATCCTTTTCTATAAAGTTGTAGGCAATATCAAATTAAATTGTTTAGGAAAGCATACACAGGTCAAGGAAATTATTATTAAAAAGTTCTCAGGGCCCTGGATGGTGTGGTTCAGTGGACTGAGCATGGGCTGTGAACTAAAGGGTCAAGTTTGCAAGTGTTTTTAATTTTTTTTCACACTTCAGCACATACTAGTAACGTAAATATCTCCTGGATACATGTAACCTATGCTGTAATTTTTCTGACTAAGACCTCCATAAAAAAAATATAAGCCACATAACAGTAGATATACTTTTTACATCTAGTGAAAGAAAAAATACAAAACCAGAAGAGCTACTATGAATTCAGTGACTAGAACAAACTTTCCATTATTAATCTTAAGATTCTCTATACATTTGAATTTTTTATTCAATATTCATTCCACAGACAGTGCTTAATGTCAACTGGCCATGGGAATCCGTTTCAGAACTTCTTCACTGCTCTGTGAATACCCTCTTGAAGAAAATGGTGTTCATTCCACAAATATTTCTTGAGCACTGGCTTATAATAATGACCTGGAGGACTCCTTACCCCTAAGAAGTTTACAGTGTAATGCAGTGATTCTCAAACATTCTTTTCTTTTCTTTTTTTAAGATTTTATTTATTTACTTTTAGAGAGAGGGGAAGGCAGGGGGAGAGGGGAAGGAACATCAGAGTGTGGTTGCCTCTCACATGCACCCTACTAGGACCTGGCCCATAATTCAGGCATGTGCCCTGGCTGGGAATTGAACCGGCAACCCTTTGATTCACAGAGGCACTCAATTCATTGAGCCATACCAGCCAGGGCTGATTCTTAAACTTTTTAAACTTCAGGACCATTTTACTCTCTTAAACACTGAGTTCCCAAAGAGCTTTATTTTGTGTATAATATCTATCAATAGTGAGCATATTAGAAATTGAAGCAAAAAAATTTAATGTAATATACAAAAAAAATTTGCCACTACCCATCAGAGTGATGATGCCATCACATGTTAAATGCAACCTCTCGAAAACTGTACACTCATGAAAGAAGGAGTGAAAAAGACCAAATAAATGACTCAGTATTACTATGAAACGGTTCTGATCTTGTGAACTCTGTGAAGTCTTTAGACCCACTGGAATGCTGTTGTCTAATAAATAGATTGGGCTAGTACACTACTTTTATCATATAAAAGTTATTAGCGTATCAACTGTGGGAGGTGGGGTGGGTCCCAGATGAAGAGTAACTGGTGGTAAACATCCCACCTTCTAGTACAACACGCGATAAAGGCGGGTGGGAGGAGGTTTTTGTGGCCTGAAGACGGTGAGTACATTCATGCTGGAGTCTACTATATTCAAGGCAATGAGTCAAACATCTTAATCTGTCAACAGCCAATAAAGTGGGGGTAATATCCCTTATGACAGAGATAAATTAAGTACTTAAGGCCTAAAGCTAGTGAATAGTGGAGCAGACAGGAACCCAGGTCATACTGACCCCAAAGCCTATGCTCCTTCTGCTGAAATCTGAGTTCAAACAAACTAGCACAAATGGAAAATAGTTCCAAATTTTCCAATATACTTTTCTCTTCCTTTATATTTCTGTTTTCTTTTTCTTGGTAACACTTTCTATGTAACACTTCCAAGCACAATGATAACATTTCCTCCTAGTTTATGGCTTATCTCTTCTCTTAGACCAGGGTTCTCAAAGTATGGTCCCTGCATCTATGCAACAGTGAAATCTGGCCAACACAGGCGAATGAATTCATCCCTAATAAGAATAAATAATAGCAAGTCATAGATGGGACAAAAGAGCAGAAAGCCAAGAAGAAAAGCAGTAAACTTCCTTATATGTGACTTGGATTAACAACTTTTTTAATTGGGGTATAACTGACAGACAACATTGTATTAAATTTAGGCATACAACATAATTCAGTATTTGTAAATACTGTGAAATGATCACCACAATAAGTGTAGTTAACATCAATTAACAATTATTAAGTTCCCGCAGCTCTAACAAGAGATGCATTCCATGACCATCTCTATATCATCATGTCCAACATCAATAAAAAAACCTTTTACACTCACCTTCTTTATCAGTAACTGACCAGGAGTATTTCTGAAAAGGCTTGCTAGATGGAAGGGGGTCCATCTCCAGCACTTTATAAATCTGGCCAAAGGCTGACAGTCTTAGTGCATGCTGAAGAACAAAAGATTATATTTATTCAAATTTCAACAGCCATTTATAAAGCCCTTACAACACCTACGTAAAAAGACTATCCATTAAATGTTCATGTTATGATGGAAAAGTCCCTAACAACAGGCAAGAAAAAAGTATTTAAATAGAACAATTAAGAAAATAAAGTAACAATATCCCTCTAATACAGTGGTGTCCAACCTTTTGGCATTCTGGCTCACACTGGAAGAAGAGTTGTCTTGGGCCACACATTAAATACACAAACACTAAAAAAAAACTGATGAGCAAAAAAAAAAAAACTGTGCATAATTTCCATGATATTTGCCATCACAGATAAGCAAAAAAAAAAAAAAAATCCTCACATAATAACCCTAATTATGCAGCAGTCCTCTCAATAATCTTTTAAAATTGTTGAGCAGGTCCCAAGTTTGTGATTATAAATACAGAAAATGTACACATCTAAGTAATAAAATGTCATTGATTTTTAAAATATTTTTTATTATAAAAGAAAAAGAGGGCAACATAAAACTAGTGGGATTGTATTTGAGAAACTAGTGCACCAATATCTGTTTTGACAGAAGTAGTTGCAATTCTCAGTGAATTCTCAAGGTACTCATCAGATATTTTGGTTATTTTACTCTTAATGTATTTTATTCTTGAAATTAGTTGCTCACAAATATAGGTGCTGCCGAATAGCAATGACAGGAATAAGGAGTGACTGTGAGGCAAGGGACATTTGTCTCTGGAAGACAGGACCTATAAAAGTCCAGTAAAGAGATATGATCAAATTTTAAGTTGAATGTCAGATTGTAGCTCTATACATTCCATTTGAAAACTGGCAGGTAACATATTTATGTCGACTGAAAATGGAGTAACAAATATAGCAAAATATTGATTTTTTTCCCAGAAATCTTAAAATCTGTTTTCAAATTCTTGTATCAAATTGAAAAGCAAGTCTGCATATTTTTTGCTGTTCACAGGACTGTGTTTAGCCAACATGTTGAAATGCATAAAATTGTTTGCCTTAATTTGAGCTTGCCATAATTTCAATTTCATTTGGAGTGCTGCTATGGTTCGAAACATGATCATCGTAAGTTGGTTTTCACCTTAAAGATGCATTTTTACCTCATTTAAATGAGCAGTTAAATCCACTAAAAATGCTAAATCTGTAAGCCAGTTTTCATCATCAAGTTCTGGCAAAAATTTGTTTTTTGATACCATAAATGACTTGATAACACATCACAAATCATAAAATCTTTTTAACCTTTGGCTTTGACTTAGCCATCTTACTTCTGAAAAGTAAATGATGTTGCCATAGTCAGTATCAGTACTTTTAAGGAATTCCTGGCATTGGCAATGATTCAGTCCCTTGGCTCTTATGAAATTCAGTCTTGATGATGAGTTGCATGATGTCATCCACTTTTAAAGTTTTTGTGCATAAATTTCCTTAATGTACTGTGCAATGATATTTTATCACAGGTGAGTTTTGGGCAGCAATTGCATCATCTCCTATTAATTTTACAAGCTCTCTCTTTTCCCTACCATCTCCCAGTCATCATCAGTAACTATACCAGATATGTTGACAATGGACAAAGGAAATCACTTTATCATTTTTCACTGCTTCATATAAAACTCCTGACTTAGTTGTGTTTTTTAATGGCACTAAAGGAGCCATTTCTTCAGTGACATTATGCTTTTCATCAATACCTCTAATAAAAATGGCAAGTTGAGAGCTGTACCTATAGCATCAGTGCTATCCTCTATCGCCAAAGCGTAAAATTTAAAATTAGCAGCTTTATTCTCCAAACTTTTCAATAGATTTTCCAGTTTCTTCAATTTGCCTGGCTATAGTCTGGTGACACAAACTGATTTGAAAAATATCCCCCTTTTTACAGGGCAAATTACATCTGCTAAGCTTTCCACACATTGCTTAATAAACCTTCCATCAGTGAATGGTTTTAATTTTTTTACTATTAAACATGCTTGCCCTGGCTGGTGTGGCTCAGGAGATTGAGTGTTGGCCTGCAAACCAAAGGGCCACTGGTTCAATTCCCAGTCAGGACACATGCCTGGGTTGTGGGCCAGGCCTCCAGTAGAGGGTGCACGAGAGGCAAGCACATACTGATGTTTCTCTCCCTGTCTTTCTTCCTCCCTTCCCTTCTCTCTAAAAATAAATATTTTTTTTAAAAAAAATATGCTACAACACAACTAGTTTTTACAATGGAATCTACCCAAGTTTAACTTCTGGAAAAAAATTTTGTTGAGAAGAGACTTTGTTTCAGTTCTGCTATATTTTGTCCTTACAACACAATCCTTCAAAGGTATTGAATGTGACAGCACGTTTTTGCATAAAATGCCTTCTAAAATATAGTCTTTGAAAACTTGCACAAATTCCTTACAAATTAAGTAGAGTGCCTTACTATTTGCCTCGACAAAAAAATTAGTCACCTGTCCACTTTTCATCAATCTTCCTTCATCCATAATTTTTCTTTTGGGGGATTCTTTTTTCTTTTGAGACATTGTAGAAGCCATGTTGGGATTTAAAAAATAACAATAGATAAAGGACTTTATTTACTTTTATTATGAAAATTAACTGACAGGAAGATAGAAAGCAAGGTTTGGGCCCATCCATAGCCCTCTCAGTTGCTGATACAAGGCAAGGCAGAAGGTCAGTCGTAAAGCACGGCAGGCAATGAGTGAGATGCTGCTGAGGTGTGGAAGTACCTTTAATAACCAAGTCAGAATGCTTACCTGACTTCTAAATAACATTAAATGCCTAACATTGCAATGGCAGGCTGAAATATTATCGATAATCGCTGCCCCGCTACGTCACCACGAGCACATGTAATGTGTGATGGTGTCAAAGCCACTGTCTGCACTTGGAAGATAACACACTGGAAGCCGCACATCACCGTAAAATGGAAGGCACACGTGGGAACAAAGAGCAAGAGCGTATGTACGTTTTTTTTCATGACACTGAGACATGTAATCACCAAAAAAAAAAAAAAGAGGGGGAAAAAACCCACCCTCAAAATGTTTTAGGTAAATTTATGATTTTGTGTTGGGCTGCATTTATAGCCTCTGTGGGCCATAAGCAGCCCACAGGCCGCGGGTTGGACACCCCTGCTCTAATAGATCACAGTGACATGCCCCATCCTCTACCTGGGCGCTGTGGGTAATATCTTCTTTTTGCTGGATGGTCATATAGCTCAGAGCATCTGTTGGGTCTCGCTCACAAGGATCATGAAGACCAGGACCCCCTTTTGCAAAGGCGAAAGAAAAACACAAATGCCATTTAGAACTGAGTTTAAAAATTAAAAAATCTAACATGAGAGAGAGGAAAGAAAGAACAAAGAGGGCAAAAAAACTGAGAAACTACATAGGCCTAATTAAATAGAGTAAAAAGGACAATTCTCATTTTCAATATGTTAGCACTTAAATGTCCTCATTTAACTGGAAGTCACTTCCATGTCTAAGGCCAAAATTGGGTCTTACTCTGAAAGTTTAGAAACAGCATGATAAATCATCCCAAATCTTTAAAGGGATTACATATGGAAAATAAGACCAAATTTAATTTTTCAAAATTAAACACCAGACTACAAATAGAGTGAATATTACATTTTAACCAAATATCTGCATTTTCAAATTCAGAGCTCTAGGTAAAGCAAATTCATAAGCAGACATAATACCTTATTAGTACTACTTATGTTAGTATATATAAAATATAAATTACATTTACTGGAAGAGTTCTACAGCATTATTCCAACATTCAAACATCCTCTTTCCTAAAATTCCAAGCACAACAACTTGCACACATCACTTTCCTGTGCAAAGGACAAATTTAACACATATTTAGAAAAATAAACCAAAATGAGATTTTTTTCTGATTCTTCTGCCTCCAGAGTTTGAAACCCTTACCAGGAAGTAGTATTCCAGATGCCAAACACTCCATTACTCGTCTCAAGGCCTCCCCAGCGCCCAAAGGTCTATTACAAGTACCTATAGACTTTTCACATATAAGCTCTAGTGGCTAGAAGATATTAAATTACAAATTAGTACATGCATCAAGTGTTAAAAGGATTCCAGTTAAAAGTGAGCTGACATTTCTATCTACAATGAAGGCCAAAAAGGTGAAAGTCAATTTATCATTTAAGGCTCAATTAACTTTTCCCTCTAATGATCAACTTTTACCCCAACTACTGTTTTAAAATCAACTATTTTTAACAAAATATATTCAGAAGACATTTTGTTACAAAACCCTTAAGAACCCTGAAAACATCACTTAAGAAATTATGGTCATCTAACTGATATAACAAAGATATAACAAGCCTTCATATACACTAGTAATAGCTAATAACTAATCAATGTCCAAACCCAGCCCATCTACCGCCCACATGATGTAAGAAGCATGCACACCGCAGGAAGACTTCATTTCAGACAGCTTGCCCAAGTCCTAAAGACTGATATTTAAAAGTAATAACTGCTATATTAACTTAAAATTACCCTTTATAGCTTTGTTTGTTTTATAATGTTCTTAATTTTGGTCTTGAGTAGGTCAGGCACAATGATTTCCAAATTAATTAAGTTTTGAAATACACATTTATAAACTATGCCCATAGGTAAAATGTACTATTCATCTGACTTTAATTCCTAACGAATTTATTTTTAAGTATCTGTACTCAAAGAAAAAGAAAAAGAAGGTATGGGAGCCTTATACCAACATATCATGTCATTTTTGTCTTCAATGGAAGCAGCATGGGAAGAGAAATGTGCCAGTCAGGGAGGCTTTCCTGGGCAGTAGTGACTAGTGCAGAGCAAAGTGCCGAAGACATTCACTTCTAATAGGTACAGAAGTTTTTTGTCAGAAAAAAAAATATCTGAGCCTCTGTGAGATGTATTATGATAAGGTAAAAGAGACAAGTTATATGCATAAAAAAGAATTCATATAAAAAGATGCATAATTCTTCCAGAATAGGCCACACACATCTTAGCTAACTCAGAATATAGCCACTTCACAGTTGTAATTTCTACAGTATAGCTTCAGAATTTGCTTTTAACTAAATTTAAGTACTTACCCATCCTTTCAATGGTGCCCATGTGGGGACTCTGTTGCACAAATCACGCAGAATGCGAAGGACAATTACACATGATTTTAATCCATTTGCCCTTGCCTACAACAAACAAAATGATTCCAGTATCCCTGTTGAAATCCATTCCGCCCTGAAGCAACTGATCATGGATAGGCTCTTTAGAGTGAATACTAATTAGCCAGTCATTCATCAGTTGTCAAAAAAATTTTTTAATCAAGTTACTAGAAATCATAAAATTATAGTTAAGAAAGGCAGGTTTTAAAGTAAAGGAAGCATATGAATAAAATTGCTTTTAGAGCCTCATGGCAACCTCATTCCAGGCAACTATCTATCTTAACATTTAACTTTTCTCATACATGTCTGCACTTTATAAGCCACCATTTGAAATTCAGAGTACTGGGCCAAGAAGGATTACATGATAATTAAACATCAACTATAATAGAAGCTATACTGGGCATTTTGCCTAAATTAACTCATTTATTCCTTCATTGACCCTAAAGGTAGAGAACACCCACATTTCATACTTTACACAGAAACCATTAAGTGGAAGGTCTTCCAAATGAAACCTATGCAAGGCTACAGTAACAGGAAGATAATAGCAAAGAGCGAACCTGAAACCATTTGGCATGCCGGAGAGACGCCAAGGCATTCAGACATTTCTGCCTGTCCAGTAAGTCTGGAGGGTCCTTCATCGCAACCTTTTCTAATGGGGAAATGGAACAGAGAGAGAGAGAGTCATAAAATTTGACCAAGGGGTTCCTGTCATATTACCAAGCAATAAAAATTTTAAAAGAGCAGCATTTGAGTGAACCAATGAAACTCCCAGAAGATTTCATGATCTGGTTGTGTTGTTTTTTAAACAAAACTACATGCACTGTGATTACTTAGGTAAGAAGTCCTTAGAGCCATCCTGTGCACGAGTCCCACAGGAGCCCGAAGGCAGTCCTCGCTCAGTGAACAAAGCAACGGCCGCTGCTACGCACGATCTGGGATCTCATCAAGCATGTGCAGAACATCAGGGGGCACAAAACAGGCACACGGCACTTTTTCCTTTGGCAGGATGCAAAGAGTGGAAAGCTGGGACCAATGCAATAGTAACTCTTCTTTATAGAAGGAATCTTAATCACTAATCAAGTCTTAAGGAAAACTGGGGCTGTTTTATGCAATCAATTTGAGATCTACTAAGATTATACTGGACATGGAAATTTTATTTTTTTACAACTAAATAAACTCATCCAACAAAATAACCATTAATAGAAACTTTACCCCATTGATGAAAACTGTTCAAGTGTCACCTTTGAGCTACCTCATTATTTCTTTTCTAAACCACAATTACCAAACCTACAAAAGGGAAACACACTGAAGTACATTTTGAGTTTTATATTATATACCTTTTTTTAAAGGCTGCAAAGAATATTACTTAATTATAGCTATTTGACTTGCTTAACATTTTAAAGATGGATTAGATGGCCCAAGACAGAAAAAACACACATATGATTATTGAAAAACATCCATAACTGAGAAAAATGTCACATGATACTAAATCCAAGTTTAATAAGCCAAATATATTCCCTCTAAGCTATTACAAAGTGGTTTTTCAACATTTTGAAGACTTGTTGCATTGTTTAAATGCACAAGACATATACAAATGTTTCTTAGGGAGTACTTCTTTGTTTAATCCAACTAAGTCAGATTCACCATTCTCTTTTAAGAACTGTCAGAATCAGGAAAGCCCACCAACACTTCTCACTAGTATAATCCTAATTCAGACTTGGCCGTATGTTTGTATGGCCAACTGATGCAATGTAAATATTTTACAATAAGAGACAGATGATACTTTTTGGTTTCCTGATTTACTACAAGATTCTATTATGACAAATTTACTATATATTACAGTTGGTAGCCTGCCATTAACTAAAACTGAAGGCATAATGCCCAACAGAGAACAAATCTATTAGAGGAAAAATTGGGGTTCTCTTTGTAGGCTGCAACACTCTAAAGGCTGAAATGCTACACACTTATTTTCTGGCCAGGCAAGCTCTACACCAGACATTCGCATTGTTTCACATTAACCTGTGCCAAAATTCCCAACACAGGGTCTCAGTTCACTACCCCTTTTTACTGACAATATGGGAAGCCTCAAAAAGGATTAATGTGGATTTTCTTGTAATCATAAAGAAATATACTATAGATATTCACTTCATAGGTGTTCTTGTTCCTGGATTTGCTCAATTCTGTCTTTATAAGACAAAAAACATACAACTAACTCACTTTAATGCTGTTATATCAGAATGTGTAACTGTGATCAATGCAAGCACCTGTGTAAAGCTCACATAGCAGATCAAACAAACTGCTATAAATAATGATTAGAATCTCTTAAAAGTTAGACATGACAAAGGTTGACTGACTGCTAAGTGATGTAAATCCCAAGAAAAGGTATGAACTGTACTTCATTTTCAAGATCTCAGTCTTTAAGTTAAGAATAAGGCAAGCTTCCTTTCATTCTATCATCTTACCAAGTAATGTTGGGAAGAGGGGGGCAGTGGAAGACAGGAGTGGACAGAAGTTTGAAGAGGAAAAGACAGGGCAAACCAAAACTCTGAGATTTCTGGTACTTTTGTCCAATGGTCAAAACTTAAAACAATAACATCTTAGGCTCACTACAACACAGATATTTTTACAGGGGTACAATGACAAAAATATTCACATAAATCCTTTCATCCCCAAAGTCAGATGATAACCACAAACTCTTATTTTAAAAACAACAAAGGTATCAGCTTGCTATAGACAGTCAACATTTGGAGGCAGTAGCTTCTCCTAAAAACAGATGGGGGACAGGCAGCAAACAGGACCCGCACCAGATTCTCTATCATATCACCATGTCTCTTCATGCTCTGACAGTCAAAAGCCAGAAGAGCCAAAATGTTTCCATATTCACAAGATGGGACACAGTAGAGAAAATGTAATAATTCATTTTATCTTCCTCAAAGTTTCTTATTTTAAAACAATGTAAAAAAAGTTTCATATGGTACTATATAGTACTACTTGTTAAGTCCTGCTTCCCTATTTCCCTTATATATTAATAATACACAGTTTTATATAGTTTCTCTTCTTTTAAGATTTTATTTATTTTAGACAGAGGAGGAGGGAGGAAGAAAGGGAGAGAAACATCAATGCATGCATGGTTGCCGCTTGCACACTCCCTCCTGGGGACCTGACCTGGCCCGCAACCCAGGCATGTGCCCTGACTAGGAATCGAACTGGAGGCCCTTTTGTTCACAAGTCAGCACTCAATCCACTGAGCTGCACCAGCCAGGGTCAGTTTTAAATATTTTCATTAAGAAAAATTACTCAATGTGGCAATCACAGAAATGCTGCTGTAAAAAACACTACTACTTCCCATAGCAGAACCTCAAGTTTAACATTTTTGTATGAACTTCAATGTAGGTGTTTCAATTTTGTGGGGAAGCAAAGCTTTTCTGATAAAAGGCATCTTGGAGTCTTTAAATTAGAAACAATGGAACTGTGAGACATTTCATTTTTTTCCTTTAGTGACCAGTAATTCAGGTAAGAAATAGTATAGGGGATGGGCTTGAGGAGTGACAAAAAAGCCAGAAAGCAAAGAAAAACAGGTTTTAAAATTTTACTTCTCAGTAACTGGCATCAAGGCATGAAGGTACATAAAACATTCTGAACAACAGAAGCACTGGAAAACAAGCATATTATGCCTAACTTTATTTGGTCAGAGGTTAGATCAGTAACCAGAAACACACCGTACTACAGGAAATGGTCAGTTTCTCTCAATTTATTACATGAACGCTAACTGTCTTCCCGTTAACAAAAACAGCCTGGACATGGGGCAGAGAAGAGCCAGAACATGACTATTAAACAGGAGTTATATGTCTGGAACCTGGGCTCTTCAAAGGTAAAATAATGAGCTGGGTTATCACAAAGGCCTCCTTGAAAATATGGATGAAGCTGAGCTACTGAGTACATGCTGATAGAACTTTCTAATTAGCCTGAAGATATCCTAGCAGCCCTTCTTTCAATTCCTTGAGGCTTTGTGGAGAGCAGACATTATTCTCCAAGCCACGGTGCATGCAAAACATCAGGCCACAATAATATGTACAGGTAAATAATGCAGTACTAAAGTAGATCAGAAAGAGCTCTGTTCTCCTAACTTACAGTGGAAACGTCCTTCAGTACGACTTTTTTCAATGCCTCAGAGTAGAGAGTTGGCCACTGAAAAGATAATGACTAAAGGTTTTGCACTGGATAACACAGGTCTAGCAGCTGGGGAAGGCAGGAAATAAAACCTGCAGCATTGTTATAATCCCAGTTGTGAGACTCCACCTAGCAGGACTCACACCAGCGAACTTCTGTCAAGATGCATCAGAAGTCTGCACTGGTACCGACACGTGAAAAGGGACTCTTGGGCAGTTTCTCTGTGAGCCCCCCAAGGTCTTCCCCAATACTCCCCCAAGGACAGAGGTTTGTCTTAGCCTCAGCCATGAGAGTGTCTGTAGTTTCCCTATCCGCCTGGTTCCAAACTGCACTGTAAACATAACAAACGGATTTATCACCCTCACAGCAAACATACTTCTGGTTTAAAATCATGAGCACCAAAAGCAGCTGAGATTGTGTGATACTCAGAAGAACCAAAGCAGCAAAGACATTCCTAGCACTCATCCTAGGCACTAATAGGAGAGTGGGCAGCACTCCGAACTTATAGGAGCTATAAGTGTACAATGTGATACATTCCTCATTCATAAAACAGGACAACTGCCTACCTCAGATGGCTGTCGTGAGGGTTAAAGTAAGTCATGTAGGAAAAACTGCTTATAAAATAGTAAGTTATTTTATACCTTAATAGAGCTTGAATTCTGCAATGTCTATTGTTAATGCTTCTTACATACTGGACAGTCCTATTTAGTCAAACAATATGCTAGCTACAAAATTTTTTTTATTGCCTACTATGTATTAGGTAGCATTTCAGGTGCTAGGGGAAAAGGATAAGGTAGGGAACGATACCTGCCCCCAACGAATCATAGGCTACATAAACCAGCCCATTATTAGCACTGCAGCAAGTACAGAATACTGATTCCAATACTGCACTTCATGGGGCTCTAGGTTCAGGTCTTCAAACCTATCATGCACACACTACTCTCACTATGAGCTCGAGGAAGGGTGAGTAGGTGAGTTTGCACTGTAAATCTTTTTTGTAAGCTAATAATGCTATTTACTGAGCAACTAGTTTGTGCTGGGTATTGTAACAGGTCACATTACATAAACTCTCTCATTTAATTTAACCTCAAACAACTTTCTCAAGTATTTATTACTCACATTTTTAAATGAAGAAACTGTCCAAAGTCACACAGTAATAGCAACTAATGGAATTAAGAATCATACACCTGACTGCCAGGCACCAAGGTCTGTGCTTTGTCCCCCATGCCTTCTTTAGCAGGAAGCATGTAATTATGGGGAAGCATTATTTTACAGGACCTTCAGGAAAAGGGTTGGGATATGGAAATACAACTGACAGCACAGCGGGGATCTTACCTGTGAAATACTAAACAATACCAAAGAGATTCACTATGTACTCTGGCCCCTGAAAATGTAACTAGTCTGCAGAGGCAGCCCTGAGAAGAGTGTGATAACCTCACCTGTCCCCATCCTCCAGTTCTCTCTGCTTTCAACCACACTTTTTTGTCCCTTTTTAAATTTTTACCCAAATGTGTGGCAAGTGAAAATGGGAAAGAGAAGGATGTGATAGACATACATAAAACAGTACATTTTGTGGGATGGTAGAAGTTGAGATTCTACAGAAAAATACTGTGAAAAAAGTTACAATGTATTTTTTTTAACTTTGAGAAAGAACATGAGTAGAGATTTTTTTAAGGGGATATCTCTCAGTCTTAAAAATTCCTGGGGCCCTAATAATCTTGTGCTTTCACCTCATGTAGCTGAGAACTGCATCAAGAGGGGGAGATCTGTCTGGTGTGCGGAATCAAGTCCCACAGAATTGTACAGCCCAGGTCTCAAATGTTCAGTTATGCTGGATCCTCAAATTTGCCCAGGAGTACACAAAACTGCTTGCACATATGAAAAAGCAAAACAAAACTGTTTTTGACAAAGCCCAAATTAGACAAAATGAGAGACTCAGAAGAGATAACAAATGAGTCAAAAGCGCTGGGAGATTAAGGAAAACAGTAAAGCAAATCTTCAGGCCATTCGAGAGAATAAGAAGTAACATGTATAGAAGAGTAGAGCCACGATGACTCTTGCACCTTGCCTATCCACGCAACAACGGTGACACCAGCCAGTAAGATTCAGCTCATAAAGAGGTCTTTGGGAGCTTGAATAACTTGACCGCAAATTCCATCCTATAACTAAAACTGGTCTTCTAGTAAGGATGCAATACACTAAGAATCTGTTTTCAGTTTCTCTAAACCAAATTAAAGTAACAAAAGCACCAGACTAAACTTAAGGGTATTGCTGAAAACAATGACAAAATCCCATGTAAGTACACAAAACCCTAAGAAAAAAGAAGCCTGACATTCTCTTAATTCTTTCAAAGACATAATAGAAGGGATGCCTACAGCTACAAGCAAACGTATAATTAATATAATCTTTGGCAATTTCGGCCTTTTTCTCATCTCTCTATACTCAAATAATTTTTAACAATACCTATAATTATAACTCTACTTAGAAATTGTTAGTTTTACACTAGGTGGGTCAAGTAGAACACAGCTTACCAGAATTAAAAGAATTATCTTGATACTTCAGAAATCATTTATAGCTCTACAGTTAATGATGAACTGAAAAGCTGTTAAAGAAATTAAGCCATTTAAGATCGGTTCTGTAGAGATGTTAGAGATACTATATACAACAAATAAAAAATAAAAAAAACACGCATAAACCCAATTATAGACTGGATGCACTTTAATTTTAAACTATAACTCATAAGTGTATCTAGTTTATTTTCTTAGGTTTGGTACAGCTAACTTGAGTTGCCTCAAAAGCTTTTTTAAAAGGAGTCTATCACATGTCTGCTAAAACTCAAAGTTCTTATGTTACTGGTAAATGTCTTTTTCTACCTTTCCCATCAACTTGAAATAAATTAAGAAACTGACCAATATTTCTCACTGCACTGGTATTTCAGGTAGGGGAGTAAGCAGGACTTACTAAATGTCTAGTGATGAAAAGTAGCAACAGGGAGTCCCCAGTGGCCCAGAGAGACCGCCCTGCTCCTAAAGTGTTGTGACAGAGAGGAGCCAGCTGGTCAACAGTCTGACACAAGAGAAGTATCACGTGGCAAGTCTCTAAGGACAGAGCTGAAAGGCAGAACAAGCTAACACGGGAGGATAAAAACCTCAGAAAAAGAAGCTCAGCTGCATCATTACTTCTCAAAACTGAATAGGTTTCCCACTCTACTTTACAAGGATGGCATTGCCATACAGGAATTCTTTTTAACTTCAGAAGAAGTTAATTTAAGGCATGATTCCCACATATACCATATTCAAAATGTTAACAGGATCCCAAAACTCCTGAGAAAATAATTTACTAAAGATAATTTATTTTAAAAATTCAATCCCCCAATTTTGATCTCTTACACTATAAAACATTTATACATGGGCAATTAAGTTAAGAATAAATCTTGTAATGTTATATATAGTTATGAGTCAAGGGCAATGTACAAATGAGTAATTTGAATACTAACTGAATAAATCTGAAAACAGTTTTGGTCCACATTTAATCCTAAAATCACACCTAATAGCCAAACCATATAGAATAGGTTGAATGGCACCAATAGCAATGCAACACTAGACAATGTAAAACAGAACACCAAAATAGTATAAAAGTTAGAGGTTAAGCCCCAAATAAGCACAGATTTTTAAATTAGCATATTTTATATCTCAAATATATATTTTTGTAAAATACAGTGATTTATGTAGTACAAAGCTGTTTAAAATACTGTAGTAACTTTTAAAATACATTTGTAAATGGCATAAGATAAACGAAGACAGTTCCTTCTTAAGTCTATAAAGCACAGTTAACACAGCATTTGAGAGGTTCTCCAGGAACAAAAACAAAACAAATATTCACATGTATGTACCTCCATCCTTCTTCTCCAATTCATCCCTAATGAGAGGGGATGTGAGGATCACCTTCAAAGTCAGCGTGGGCTCCTTGGTGTTCCGGATTATAATGGATGCCTCATCCACACACTGTTCCACTTCATATTTCTCTTCTGTGAGTTTCTGGAAGTCACCAAGATTTCAAAGACACCCAGTTAATTAGATTAAAATTTCAAAAAGTGAATGATTGCCCCTTAGTTTTCAAGTGTTATAATTAGAAATGCTATGCCAAGAGAGTAAATAAAGTCATTGCTAGTCCTTTAGAGATAACATTTCTTTTTCCTCCCAGCTTATCAGCAGACCCTTTCTCCATCCCTCAAAAAGCAACCCAATGTCAACTCTTTATACAATTATAAACAGTATTTAAATTCATTCTTTTTAATATTTGAAAGGAAAATACCAACAGCAGCATTATGTGATAAAAAGTAAATTATTATTTGTTAGATTATTACAGAGGACTATTGCAGAAAAATAAATGGCTGGGAATGCTCTTTTAACCAATATCTTTGTTGACAGGACAGCCTAAAAAGGAACTCCTACATACTAAGGACTTGTAAATTTAAGTTAAGTAGATTTTTACATAGTATTATATAAATGTCTAAAGAGAATCAAGTTAGGAATGAATAAAAAAGAATCTCTGCATAGTCACTCACCAGCATCAATTAGTATAAACAAGTAACTTCACTTCTCTCACGTGGCCTCAGAGGTCATTACAGTAGGCCTGTCACTGTGGGACACGTCATCTGACACCCACAGGGACATGTACATTGCTTCCACATACAACTATACACGATTTAAGGGCAAAACTAGAATACAGAGAAAAAGCACAAATCTGCTCACATTCATCCTGCCGGTAGTAGAGCATTAAAGATGTCCATCAGAGAATGAACCAAGCTAATTTTTTTTTATCCTGACCAGTGGATATGTTTATTGATTAGAGAGAGAAAGGAAGGGGAAGGGGAGAGGAACAGTGGGGAAGAGAGGGAGGAGGGGAGAGGCGGGGAGAAAGAGAAAGAGAGAGGGAGATATCAATGTGAGAGAGAAATATCTATCAGCGGCCTCCTGTTCAAGCCCCAGCCAGGGATCAAACCAACAACCTAGGTATGGTACCCGGATTGGGGATGGATCTTGCAACCTTTTGGTGTATAAGACAATGCTCCAACCAACTAACCACCCAGCCAGGGTACTAAATTTTTCAATTATGCATGCAGATCACCGTAAGACACATCCAAAGTAATAAACTCTTTGGTAAGAGTTTTGAACTAAAATAATTATAAGTGATTTCTAGTTTTAATCATCTTTCTCCATCCTTGCTCAAGGAAGTTCTAAAATTGCCCTAGAAAAGAATATGTAGAGAAGGCTGGTACAACCTCAATAAATTAAGGTACGTAGATAACTGAAAAGTTTTGCTGTGGTAGATGCTCAAAAAATTTTTTTCTTTTTCTTTTTTTTTTTAATCCTCACCCAAGGATATTTTCATTAATTTTTAGAGAGAGAGGAAGGGGGAGAGAGAGAGAGAAAGAAAGAGAGCAACATCAATGTGAAAGAGAAATATATACCAGGTGCCTCCCATACATGCCCCAGCTGGGTACTGAACCTGCAGCCTAGGTATGTGCCCTGACTGGGAACTGAACCCACAACCTTTTGGTATACAGGATGATGTTTCAACCAAATAAGCCACCTGGCCAGGGCCCAAAAAAATAAAAGATTTTTAAACTTATAGGAAAATAAGATCATATCAGAGATTGGTTTTCCACACAAACAGCAAGAAAACAAGGGGGAAGCAGAGAGTAAAAGTAGAAAATAATCCTTAAAATAATTTTCTGGAAAGTGATTAGTAGTAGTAGTAGTAATAATGTATGCATGTGCTTATATGTATATACTTGAGCATATGTGTGTGTACATGTATACAATTTAATGAGATGGATCTACAGTTAGATCCCCATTTTATCTGGGCACCTTTTCCCACCTTCCTATAGTAATGGATCTAACAATCATACAAAGCAGCTGGTTTCACTGTTGGTAACTTTACCCACTACATTTAACTGAAGCGTTTCTCATCATTTCCCTTATTGATCTTACGAGTTCAGGCCTCTTTTACTTTCTCCAAGAAGCCCTTCAAAGACCTAAAACTATTTGTGTCTCCTTTAGTCTTCTCTTGCCTAAAAAGGCCCAGTGTCTTTAAATTTGAACTGGCTTACACAGCCGGCACTCTCTCCTGCATCCCTCCCTTGAACACTTGTTAGCTCGACAACAGCATTTCAAAATTGTGGTGCCCAGAAATAAAGACCCTCACTCAGGAAGGGGGAAAAGTGCATAGTTCTCACAGTTGTAGTCTGCACAGAGAAAGCTCTGTTTATGAAGACTGAAGCTCCTATAGCTTCAATACTGGAGAAACGTGACAGACTTCTCGAATAAGAATTTAGATTTATTACAGCACTGGTTGTCAACCCCTTTTCACTGACACATGAGGAATATGACCAGTCTCATGAGAAAGAAGACTCACTTTTTGAACTTCTGATCAAGATGGAGGCATAGGTAAACATACCTCACCTCCTCACACAACTACAACAAAAATTACAACAATAACCTTGGCTGATGTGGCTCAGTGGGTTGATTGCCGGCCTGCAAACCAAAAGATTGTCGGTTCGATTCCCAGTCAGGGCACGTGCCTGGGTTGGGGGCCAGGACCCTGGCTGGGGGCGTGTGAGAGGCAACAGATCAATGTGCCTCTCACATGCTAATGTTTCTCTCCCTCTCTTTGTCCCTCCCCCCTCTCTAAAAGTAATAAATAAAACCTTAAAAACTACAGTATACTACAAAACAAATATAATCCAGAACTGGAGGAAATTGAGCTCTATAAAAGTCCGACAATCAAGGATTTAAAGAAGTCACATTCATCTAGACAGGTAGGAGGGGTGAGGTGCAGAGACACTCGGAGAGGCATGGTGACAGGAAGTGGTACAGAGAGGTGTGGAGACATGCGGAGATGTAGTATGAGTGACCCCACATCTACCTGTGGTGGATAAAAATTGGGAGGGATACCTCAGGAGTGAGGAAGCCCAGCCCCAGACTAGACCACCCAGCTCAGGGTTCCAGTACCCATAACTTCTGGTTGTAAAAACCAGTGGGGATTGGGGTGGGGGAAGAAACACCTCTTAAAGGGCCCACAACAGACTTAGGACTTACACAGACTCACCCTCTAGAGGACTTACACACCACCCTCTAGAATTCAGGACCACAGCAACAGTTGGAAGGGCACAAGTGTAATACAGGGAGAAATTGAAGTGACTGCCAACAGGGCAAGTCCAGGAGACAGCTTCCTCCCAGGCAAAATTCTAGAGGCCTGGCAGCTGCAATGTCCCCTCTCTGAGCTCTCCCCAACACAGAGCCAGAGAATGGTGACATGGGTTGCCCCGCCCTGGAGGTCACCTAAGGCTCTGCCCCATACAACTTACAGGTGTGCTTTTCTACAATAGGCCATGCTACTAAGACAGTGTGTCAAAGCAGCTCTACCTGATACAGAGAAACACAGGAAGGCTGCCAAATTGAGGAGGCAAAGAAATAGGCCCAAATGAAAGACAGAACAAAGCTCCAGAAAAAGAACAAAATGAAATGGAGATAAGCAACCTATCAGATGCAAAGTTCTAAACTGGTTATCAGGATACTCAAGGAACTCATTGGGTACTTCAACAGCATAAACACAACCCAAGCAAAAGTGAAGGTTTACAGAACATGAAATAAAGAAAAATCTATAGGGAACCAACAGTAAAGGGGATGAAGTTGAGAATCAAATCAATGACCTGGAATATAAGAAAGCAAAAAACCACCACACACAGAAAAACAAGAAAAAAAGAATTAAAAAAAAAATGAGGATAGGCCAAGGAGCCTCTGAGATATCTTCAAATGTACCAACATCTGAATAATAGGGGTGCCAGAAAGAGAAGAGGAAGAGCAAGAAATTGAAAACTTATTTGAACAAATAATGAAAGAAAACTTCCCTAATTTGATGAAGGACATAGACATACAAGTTCAGGAAGCACAGAGAGTCCCAAACAAGATGAACCCAAAAAGAACCAGACCAAGACATATCATAATTAAAATGGCAAAAGTTAAAGATAAAGACAATCTTGAAAGCAGCAAGAGAAAAGCAGATAGTTACCTACAAAGGAGTTCCTGTAAGACTACTAGCTGATTTCTCAAAATAAACTGTGAGGTCAAGAAGGGACTGGCAAGAAGTATTCAAAGTGATGAAAAGCAAGGGCCTACAACCCAGATTACTCTGTCCAGCAAAGATATCACTTAGAATTGAAGGACAGATAAAGTGCTTCCCCAACAAGGTAAAACTAAAGGAGTGCATCAACACCAAGCCAGTATTGTATGGCATGCTAAAGGGAATTCTATCAGAAAAAGATTAAAATTATGAACATTAAAGTGGCAAGAAATTCACAATTATCAACAATTGAATCTAAAAAACAAAATAAGCAAACAAGCAGAAGAGGAACAGAATCATAGATATAGAGATAATTTGGAGGGTTATTAGTTGGGAGGGCCAGGGGGAGAATAGAGAAAAGGTACAGGGATTAAGAAGTATAATCAGTAGGTGCAAAATAGACAGAGGGGTGTTAAGAACAGTATAGGAAATGGAGTAGCCAAAGAACTTACATGCATGAACCATGGACATGAATTAAGGGTGGTGGGGATTGCTGGAGGGCATGGGGTACTGGGTGGAGAGGGAGGCAAATGGGGAAAAGTTGGGACAGCTGTAACAGTGTAATCAATAAATTTTTTTAAATAAAAAAAAAAAGAAATAAGACTCACTAAAGGGAACAAAAAGGGGGATAAGATGGTTGTGAAAAAGCCTCTAATATCCAATCACTTGATTACTACTTTATTATAGATTTAAGAGTAACAATGTTCACTTTACCAAAAGCAGAAATACAGATTAAATTTTTAAGCATTAAAAAAGATCATGGAAACAAGATGGATTTTATTAACATCCTACTAACAAAAAGTACAATTAGCCAGAACCCATTACTGAGCTTTCTGTTTCCTAAAACTTTATTGTACTCCGTGTGGCGTATTGCTTTCCCTCTTCTAAATGATCACAAAGGGCTTTAAATTTCTTTTTTAAGAAATAAATTTAACCCTTGCCCTGGATGAGTGGCTCAGTTGGTTGAAGCATCATCCTGTACACCAAAAGGTTGTGAGTTTTGATTCCTAATCAGGGTACATCCCTAGGTTCCAGGGCATGTACTGTAGGCAACCAATCAATGCTTCTCTCTCACATGGATGTATCTCTCTCTCTCTCTTCCCCCTCCCTTCCTCTCTCTCTCTCAAAACAATAAAACATTTCCTTGGGTGAGGATTAAGAATAAGTACACAAACAAATAAATAAATAATAAAAAAGAAATTTAACCTTAAGAAAGACCAGAAACATTTCTTCATCAGAATCAAAAATGGAAAAGCCAAATGTTTGTCAGTCAATTAAAAAACTGTATCTTGGCTGGTGTGGCTCAGCAGATTGAGTGCCAGCCTATAAACCAAAAGGACACTGGTTCAATTCCCAGTCAGGGCACATGCCTGGGTTGTAAGTCAGGTCTCCAGCTGGGGTTTGGCAAGAGGCAACCAACTGATATTTCACTCACATATCATGTTTCTCTCCCTCTCTTTTTCCCTCCCTTCCCCTTTCTCTAAAAATAAATACATTAACAAAATCTTTTAAAAACTGTATCTTAAGTTCTAAGGCAGAATGATAAAATAAGATAATAGCTCCAAAAATTAATATAGGGGAATGTGTCAACAAGTAACACAATTGGCCAGGTGGTTCAGTTAGTTGAACTGTCGTCCCATACACTGAAAGGTTGCAGTTCAATCCCTAGTCAGGGCACATACCTAGGATGCAGGTTCAATCCCTGGTCAGGCAGCATACAGCAGGCAACCAATCAACATTTCTTTCTCACCTCAGTGTTTCTTTCTTCCTCTTTCTCTCTCCCCCCTCCCCCTTCATCCTATCTCTGTAAATCAATAAAAATATCCTCAAGTAAGGATTTTTTTTTTAATGCTAGATTCAAAAACCAGAAAAGATGGTTCTGGCATTCAGGTTGTAAAAATGAAAGAAAATGACCCACTAACAAAGCTAATAAAAACAACTTCAAAATTTCTATTACTTGGAAAAAAAAAGGAACCTTTTCATAAAATACAAATTAAAACACCAACTAAGAAAAGAGAACTTTCAACAACTCAGAGTTTGGACCTTGTGCACTGATATCTATTTACTTCACATGGACACAAGGACTAACTGATATAAATCATCATCGAAAAGCTACAATCCAATGCGATCACAGATAACACATTTGAAACTGAAAGATGATCTTGGCTTCCCAGTGAGTGATGCAACTGGTCCTCAGGGGAGGCTGGCAGAGCAGGCTGGCAGAGCCAGTCCTAGCGTTGCCTCCAGCCCTGAGGAGCTTTCAGCCTCTACCTGCATCCTTCAAGAACCATGCTAACATTAAAATTTTCTACATGTATCACATGGTGTGAAAAAGGTTTGAAAACAAGGAATTAACAGTGACTTTCTATTAACAGATGAATGGATGACTGTTAAATCAACTGAGTGTTCAATACTGAAAGTTATCTCCCTGACTGGTGTGGCTCAGTGGATTGGGCATCACCCTGCAAACTGAAATCCTGCTGGTTTGATTCCTGGTCAGGGCACATGCCTGAGTTGTGGGCCAGGTCCCTGGTTGTGGGCATGTGAGGCAACCAATCAAAGTTTCTCTCCCTCATTTTCTCCCTCCCTTCCCCTCTTTCTAAAGGTAAGTAAATAAAATCTGGAAAAAAATATTATCATCTATGGGAAAAAAAAGTTATCATCTATGCAGATCTCCAGTTGTCTAGGCTTTTTTTTTTCTTGCCTTTGGTAAAACTGGTTTCCTTACATATCATTTTTCTTAAAGTCCCAGTAGGCTCTTTTCGATCTTTTAATTCTTTTCTGCATTACACCAGCCCTTCCAAGAGTTTCACAATGCTGAGAGACCTGGTCCAGAAAACAACAAGACTCTCAGCAAGATACATCTGAAAAATTTAAGACTGTACCTTAACAGCCATCTTAATTTTGATGAATGTATCCAGAGAACTAATCACCAGAAAGTTGCTTTAAATGAGATGGAAGAGTCACTGGCCCAGAGCAGCCGTATTCCTTTTGTCTGCACTCTTCACCAACCAATTTCTTGTTGAATTCAAAATCACTACCTATTTTCACCTTTTTACAAATTCTCCTAGAGGTGTAATTAAACTGTACTCACCTGAATCTGAATGGGAAGATTATCTTTGACTGTATTTAACAGGGTCTCTGTGGGTTTGTCTTTGCACATTAAAACCAGCTCCAAGTCCATATCATCTTTAATCAGCAAGCCCTTTGCAACCAGGCCAATCCTCATTACACCACACAACGTCCGACCACCTTGATCCCTAAAAATAAAAGTCTGAATGATTACTTTCACAACCCATTTCCCAAGAAATTTAACGTAACTTGGCTTCCTGGACATCCATATGAATTGGTAAGGGGGTACATCAATCCAGATATACAAAGTTCCATAAAATTAAGTCTCTGATTTGAAGCTCATAAAATATCTTCCCTAAGGAATCAATGGGGAACATACTGCAGACTACAAATTTAAAAATTTTTTTCATTATTATTCAGGAAAATCCAAAAATACTACATCTCCTTAAACACTGTTTCAAAAAACCTATTATCTTTTAATTGGTAACTAAAGGATCTATGAGAAACATGAACATCATGGTGGACTAAGAAAGCATCAGGCCGAAAATCCAAACGCCCTGGACTCGACTCCCAGTGATGCCTGCTGGAGCAGCACCCACAAGTGGCTGCCGGCTAGATGAGCCTTCGCTCGTCCCTTCTAGTTGAATCATTCTCTGAATACACAAAGGTTTATGGGGAAAGCAGAATAATGGGATAAAAAGCAACAAGCTGAGGAAAGAACAGACTAAAGATAATCTGCCAGGAATACATTTCAAACCCAGCGTCAGCTAAAAGAAAAAACACTCAAGAACATCAAGTCATGAGTGGTGCAAAGAACAAGGATAGCATCTCTCCTTGATTTTAAGTTTCTACTGATTCACTTTCCATAATCACAGTGAAACCCTAACTACACTGAGCAGTCGATCAACAAGTAAGCAAACGTCTGAGTATGGAAACTATGCTAAAAGAGATCCAACCACTCCTGCGTCCGAGGCTTACACTGTGGTTAAGCACAAAAGCAGTAACCTGTTTAAAAGGGGAAGAAGAAAGTAACATCTGAGAACAAACTGCATGCCACAATTCTCATTTCAACTTAAACTCAAACAAGCCTTCACCTGAAAGACAAGAAGTGTGAATCTCAGAGAAGCCAATTAATTGTTCGGGCTCACACAGAGAGCAAAATGGTAAAGCCTGGATTCACACTCAAGTTGGTCTGACCACTGCACTCAGGTTCTTTACATTATTATGGTTGAGTCTCAGGTATAAGGAGGGAGAAGTCTAAATTAGAAAGGTCAAACGAAGCAACCTGAAAATCTGACTTCGCCTAGTCTTGACTCGGTTAGATAGAAAAAAGGTCATTCCAGCTGAAGGCAAAGAATCAGCAGAGTTGGGCGAAAGTCAGCAGAATGAATAATGAACTAGAGGAAGGAGAGAAAACAAATTGTGGAAATGGAAACAAGACAGTCAATTATAAACAACCCAGTCACTGGTTCAGTGCCTGGCATACCTTACAGATTCAATAAATAGTAAATTAATAAAAAAAAGTTTAAAAATGGTAATAAAAGTATACAAAAAAATAAAAAGCATTTTAAAGCAAGTGACCCAAACATAGGGAATTATTTAATATTAAGAACAGAGTCAGTCATTTTTAATTTTTTCCCTAGGTATCCCTGTCCTCTCATACTCTCATTCTCCCAAATCTAGTAACAGTTTATAAATTCCCCTCCATAACCACCTCTGAACCACTGCTTTCAAATCAGTTTCTTTTCAGCTGTTACAGTACCTCAATAATGTCTTTTTATTGGCCTTATTGACTAACCTCTGCCATCTCCAACCTACTGTATACAGTGTCCTGCAACCAGGATGATCTTCCAGAAGCAATGCACAAATAGCACCTTCCTTGTTACTTTCTCGGCATCCCACTGAACACTTAGACATTTGGCATATAGAGAGGCAGTTTAAAAGACAGTGTGACTTCCCAGTTTGAATCCTGGCTCTGCTACTTACTGTTTAATACTAGACAAATTACCAATTCCTTGGCTTTTTGAGCCTGCTTTCCCATTTGTAAAAAAGAAATAATACCTTACACTCAGACTAGTACTGAGAATATCATTTAATTTAATGTAAGTAATGAGCCTGGCATATATTAATAGCTCAATAAATAGTAGCTGTTAACCCTTCAACAGTCCCTATACTTTCTCACACCTAGATCCCTGCTGACATTTTTTTTCTTCCACTTTTACTATCTGTGCCAAAGCCCTACCCATCCTCTAAATCAACTGTAAATGCTACCTCCTTCATAAAATTTTTTCTGATCTCCAAAACCAGCACATAATCTCTCCCCGCTGTGTACTTTTACATTTTAGTCACAGGAAATCGAAGCAAAGATGCTAAGAAACTGCATCTGGAATTGACAGACTTAAATACGAATCCTGGCTCCACTGCACACACTCATTAAGTGACCTGAAGCATGTTAAAGTTTGTTAATGATTCTACATCACTTTTTTTGTAAGCAAATCTGAAGCAGTGGAAATTTCATAAGTAAAATAGGGGCAGAGTAGGGGGGTAATAATAACAGGGACCAGTAGATTTATTGTATGTAATGTGGAAAATAATTGGCACTCAATATATAGTAGCTATTATTAACTAGCCATTATTAGATCACTTATTCTGTATCATAATTATGATATACTTGACCTTCTCATGTAGAAGACAGCATGACTAAGCAGGGAAACTAAGTCCTAATTCAGTCCTGAAGTTGAATAATGAATTTGAATATAGAAGGTGTTGTAAAGCAAGCAACCCAAACATAGGAAATAAAATTAAGAAGAGAGCCCTGGCTGGTGTAGCTCAGTGGATTGAGCTCCAGACTTTGAAGCAAAGGGTTGCTGGTTCAATTCCCAGTCGGCACATGCCTGGGTTGTGGGCCAGGTCCCCAGTGAGGGGCGCATGAGGGGCAAACACACATTGATGTTTCTCTCCCTGTCTATCTTCCTCCCTTCCCCTCTCTCTAAAAATATAATCTTAAAAAAAATCAAATTAAGAAGAGAATCCTAGTATTCCTCATAATACAAATAGTGGAACCCTGTGCTACTCAACTTTTGAGTCAGATTGTAAAAAGGTAAAATAAAAGCTGCCTGACAATAGAAGGTTCTTAATAACTAGCTAGCCCTCACCCATCTTGCGCCCTCTGCAGTACTCAGCACATACCAGGAGCACAGTGTGTGTCTATCATCAAACACAGTTTTGTTCCTGGGCGATATGCCTGCCTCTAGCGTGTACAAAATAGGGACACAGTCACTCTGCACAACTCGAGTTTCACCAGGTGGGAAGAAACACAGACAAGTGCTCTCAACCTGTGACTATTCCACAAAATAGAAAGACTTTACAGACAGCCAAGAGCATCCACACAGAAAACTATATTTAAAAATCCAAATGAACGTGTGGAGTACATTATCTTTTAAAAACCTTTCAAACAGGGACCTGATCCAGTTAGGCAAAAGTCTACTGGAGCACTTTCCAAAGGTCTCCTGAACCATGAGAACAAACAGAAGATGCATTAAAAAGGCATGAATTCCACTAAAAAAGGAAACCACTTAAAAATGGTAAAAATGGTAACCCTTATGTTATATATTTTACAATTTTGGAAAAGTTTTAAAAGGCACACATTCCAAAGTACAATGTAAATATGGAGTGTATGAAGATTTAATTTACGCAGAGATGGGAAATACAGAACTAGATCATTAGATAATATTACTAAGTAACATGAACCCCATAATTTGACAGTGTCTTTTTTAAAGCCATAATATGTGAGAAAGACTGAATTACTGTCAAGAACCTTGAGGCTGACAAGACTACATCTAGATACAATGTATATATTACCTGTAAACCATTAACAAAGTCAAGGAATTAATGTTCTTCAACTAAAAACTGATACAGATTATCTTTCATCTGAAAATGAAAAGGTTCCACTATCTTTCTGTGAAGAAATCAATTTGTCAATACTTCCCTATTATTATCGACTAACATACTGATTTAGAATTAAAGCTGGGAAAATTTTCTATAACCTCTAGTCTCAACTTACAAATATTAGCCAAAATACTGTTTTTAAGTCTATTAACACAGTGCAAATGAGCTTCACCTCTCTCAGTCAGTCATACACTCATTCCAGGCAGAACGACACTGCTCCAAACAGTAACTCAAAGCCCAGCACAGCACGAAAAATCCCATCGTCGGACTCCAGTTATCATCAGCGTCTTCTCACTTGTCTCTTACTATTATCACAGCACTGAGAACACTCTGCTCTGACTGTTGAAGGATCTGGCTCCCAGCAGGCCTTCTTGCATCTACAAATATCCACTGAGCATTTATTATCTTGAACACACTGTTGGGTCCTGGGAATCAATTTCCCTGTACTCTTTCTTCTGCACCAGGATTTTGAAAAACCTGACAAAAATGACATTTTATGATTTCCCCAAGCAACCAAAAACACTACAATTCATGTCCAAATTTAGGAGGGTGAAGCAAAACATGAGAAACATGACATATCACAACCTCCAAAAAGAGGAGATATCAAAGGGCTTGGTGCACTCTCAGAAAGCATCCTGACAAGCCCTTCTTTTTCCGGTCTCATCATTATTCCTTTCAAATTCCAAACTCAAGAAAATTTCCACACTTACTTCCTTGTTTACAATCATGTACATGAGAAAACCCAAGGAACACCATGTACCAAATGTAACCCGGGGGAGGGGACCTGGGCTTTTCTGGGTGCTGCAGTGAAGTGCCACAAAGGTCAGGCCACACTCACTTGGAATAGGTGTCTATGGCCTCATCCTTCTTCACTTCTGTCTCGCCCTCTGTTTTTGCTCCTTTATTTGTTTCATCCAGCCAATCTGAGACATGTTTAAGAGCACATTCAACAGTAGACACCATATTCTGAACAGCTTCAAGTTCCTCAGGAGATGGGTAGATTGTTGAATGTTTCACCATCACATGGCGATCATCATTGGCAAAAGATCTAATAGATCTCTGTCAGAAGGAGAAAGAAAACAATTACTTCAATTTAGAAAAGAAAGTTACCTGAAGTCAAGTCATAGCATTACTTGTCAAACCACTGTGAAATAGTGAATGCTGAAATAGTAAAACATTCCTCAGGAATAAGAAGTAAAACCCCTTTCTACTTAACACAGCAGAAAATTAGAGACTTTTTCATTCCTTTTTGGTAAGGTTCACCCAGGTAACACTCAGTATTATGTTGATGCTACCTTTTATTTGAACCAATGTGTTCTGAACACCACTTCAAAAAAGCTACCAACACTTCCAGCAGGATGGAGGAATAGGTGGACGCACCGTACCTCCTCGCACAACCAAGATTAGAACAACAATAATTTACAGATAGAATAACACTCAGAACTGATAGAGGATTCATCTGAATGGAAGTCGGACAGCCAAGAAGTTGAAGTAGACCCGTACATCCAGACCGGTAGGAGACGACGAGCCGGGCGGGCGCGGGGCTGGCGCGGGTCGGCGGCGCTCAGAGGTCGGGGAAAATTTGGTGTGAAATCGGCAGGACAGCCATCCGGGGCCCAAGAACGCAGCGGTGATTCCTGAGAACACAAGCTGCGGCTGGCAGACCCAGTGAGGCAGGGATTGTGGACCAGGGCAGAGCTCGCAGCCCAGGATCCCAGAAAGGGGTCTGGGCCCAGGAGAACGGAACTACCGCCATTATTCCCTCCCGCTCCCGCCCCCACCCCCGCCCCCACATATAACGTCACAATCTAGCAACTGGGGTGCCCAGCCCCTGTGAACACCTAAGGCTCCGCCCCCCACTGTAACAGGAGCGACCAGACCAAAAAAAAAAAAAGAGAGAGAGAGAGAGATGGCTGAAATAGAAGAACAAATCAGTGCCCCAGAACTCATCCTTTTGAGCGACCAAGAAATAGCCAATCTATCAGATGCGCAGTTCAAAACACTGGTGATCAGAAAGCTCACAGAATTGGTTGATTTTGGGCGCAATTTAGATGAAAGGATGCAGGTTACCATAAAAGAGATGCAGGAAGATACACGGAGGAGAGCCAATAGTGAAAGGAAGAAATATGAATCTCAAAACAATACAGTGGACCAGAATGAAGATAGAATCCACCAAGCAGGAAAGCATGATGAAATAAGAATTCAAAAAATCGAGGAAAAGCTTAAGAGCATCCAGGACACCTTTAAACGTTCCAACATCCAAATTATAGGGGTACCAGAATGGGAAGGGGAAAAGCAACAAATAGAACACCTATTTGAACAAATAATAAAGGAGAACTTCCCCATTCTGGCAAAGGAAATAGACTTCCAGGAAATCCAGGAAGCTCAGAGAGCCCCAAAGAAGTTGGACCCAAGAAGAAACACACCAAGGCACATCATAACTACACTAGCCAAGGTAAAAACGAAGGAGAGAATCCTAGAAGCAGCAAGAGATAAGGGGACAGTAACCTACAAAGGAGTTCCCATCAGACTGTCAGCTGATTTCTCCAAATAGACCTTACAGGCAAGAAGGGGCTGGAAAGAAATATTCCAAGTCGTGAAAGACAAGGACCTACATCCCAGATTGCTCTATCCAGCAAAGCTCTCATTTAGAATGGAAGGGCAGATAAAGTGCTTTTCAGATAAGGTCAAATTAAAGGAGTTCATCATCACCAAGCCCTTATTTTATGAAATGCTAAAGGGACTTATCTAAGAAAAGAAGATAAAGAAAAGACATATATAGTAAAAGGTCAGCAAACTCACAATTATTAACAACCACACCAAAAGCAAAACCAAAAGAAACTAAGTAAACAAGTAGAACAGGAACAGAACCACAGAAATGGAGGGCACATGGAGGGTTAGCAGCAGGGGGGTGGGAGAAGGAGAGAGGGGGAAAAGGTATACAGAATAAGTAGCATAGATTGTAGGTTGAAAATAGATAGGGGGAGGGCAAGAATAGTATGGGAAAGGTAGAAGCTAAAGAACTCATGACACATGGACATGAACTAAAGGGGGGAAACGTGGGTGGGAGAGGGGGTACAGGGTAGAGGGGAGAGAAGGGGGGAAATGGAACAACTGTAATAGCATAATCAATTAAAAAAAAAAAGAAAAGAAAAAAGCCACCCACATCACATATCATCTGCAAGAAACAGATCCTTCTGAGCTTTGAGAGAGTGTCTGGAAACGCGTGACGGTGACTCGTGACACCCAGTCTCTCCTTGCCAAACTGGAGATTTGTACACCTTGAAAAATTCGGATTTCATAATACAGTAAAAAATAAAATATATTACATGTAAACACAAGGAAAACTACAGACACATTAGGATACTGTTTATAATTCTGCATTTACAACTTTAGTGCAGGGCTTTAATTTTTAAAAAAGATTAGTAGGGAACATTTCAAATTCCAGAACGAAGAAAATACATACAGGGTGGGGCAAAAGCAGGTTTACAGTAGTTCATATGGAAAATAATACAATGATTAATAAACAATAATACACAAATAAATTCCAAATGTAATGCAAAAGAATCAACTTCCCAAACTAATTTACAAATGTACTGCATTCTCAATCAAAATACCCTCAGGACAGATTTATTTAATACTTGAAAACAATTGTAAAGCTCATTTGAGGGGAAAAAATCAATAAGAAATACTCTACAAAGATGGATGGGTGGTGCCATTATGCTAAAACAAAATATCAAAAATTTAAAAAGCAATAATTAAAATGACATGCTGGCCCAGAAATCAGTGATGCAGATTAAAGCCTAAAAATAGAATGAATTTCATGAAAATATAATAGGATAGATCCTTCACACTCATGAGTCATACATCAAAAAACTTTGAAAGTTTCCAAGTTTACAATTGCCATGAAGACAGTTGTACCATACAAAGCAAAATGAACAAGGACAACTTGCTGAGCTTTCGTAAAGCCGAAGTACTTTATTTAAAGGGTAGCTACAGTGTCTTTATTTATTTGAAATTATACACACCAGCAAATGGTAAATATTTGTTTTAAAGTCTTTACCACAAAACAAAATATTCAAAATTTTATCAGTATTTTTTGTTTGGGTTTGTTTGAATATAAAAATTTTAAAAATCATATGAGGGAACTAAATGGTAATGGAAAAAATACAATAAAAAATACATTTTAAAAAGGGAAAGAAATTTAAAAAATCATAGTAATCTGAACACTAGTAAATTAATACCATAGTATAACTGTCTTCTGTAAAATGAAGCAAACTACAACTTGAAAGGTAATAATAATCCTTTGAAACCCTGAATTATTATATAAAGAAGGACTAAAAGCAATCAAAAAATCTTTCTCTTCTGTAGGTAAAAATTATCTGTGTAGATTTCTTTCTTACTCAAAGTCCACACCTAGTTTTCCAACTGGAGTCTTTTGCCACAGAGAAACAAACTTTTTAATTACTTCATGAGATTTACTCATATATCCCAAAATAAGTAAAAAGAAAAAAAAAGCCATATAATGAATTAGAGCTGCTAGGTTGTTCTAGGGACTATAACTTCATTGACCTGCTCTTAAGAGAAGAAATTTTACTAATATATTTTAGTTCTGGATGATAGATAGGAAAGAAAATGTTAACTTGAGACTTTCTCTGTCATTCAGTTTTATGGTAAGTTACTAAATTACTCAGTCCCGCACACTGACCTCACCATAGTAAAATTACGAATTGCTCTGTAACAAATCCTTGGTGTCTTTCTCACAAGTAACACCGGCTGCCAATATTAAGTCCAAGAGTCAACTGAATGTGACAGGACAAGCATCACGAAGCAATGGTGAAAGGAAGAGGTAGATAAACAGTGTAACAAATTGGAGGATGATCTTATTTACCCAACTATGCTCCAAATAGATTTTTTAAGTAATAAAAAATTAAATTGTTAAAAACGATGCAGAAACAGGAAGTTCTTATTCAAATTTGAGCTCTAACAATAGGAGAAATTGAGAAAATCTACCAACCAATTATATTACATAAAAACACAAAATTCCTACATCAGAAAATCTAACTTAAATTTAAAATAATCTAGAAAAGAAATTTCCATCAACTACAACCAATAATATATATAAAGCATTTCTTTAAACTAAGGATATGAAGAATATAATAGATAAAGGAGCTGCAGTGTTGAATAATTCACATGAGAGGAAACACAAGTCAGTGTCATTTTTTTAACATCTCAGCATAAAACCAGTGACAGAGAAAATCCCAAATTAACACTTTTCCCCACCATCCAGAAGTAAAATATTGGAATTTCTTCTCTAAAGAGCAATTCAACTAAGTATAAGTACTAAAACACTTTTTTGAAAAATCAAGTAACACTTAAAGAAACACCATCAGACTTACTAAACAATGTATTTACACATATTGATGGTTAATTTTTTTTTTGCTTTTTCTCCCATTTATCTTTTTTAAGCCTTTTTTTCCCCACCTATACTAAAAGAGAAAATTCACACAACATCCTCCGGAAACAAAATACTAGGGGAAAAAATTCAGCACATTTTACCAGTTAAAAAACTAAGCACCAGAAGTTATGACCTCATCTGCCATTTCAAATTCAAAAGTATGAACCTTTCATAAAAAGCAAGATTTCCCCCAATACACTTAACACATGATCCTATTCCCTTAAAAGCATGTGGGAGTGTTAGCAGCCGCCATTGCTCTCTAATGCCAGTGCCTCCTCCAGCTCTCCAAGCTCCAGCCAAAGATTGGAAGGGGGACAAGAAAAGAGGTCTCTATAGCATGGGTCCTACAAAGTAGACTGCCTGCAAATTGACCACTGGTAACACAAAGGAAGCAACTAGCTACCAAAGCTGCTCCCAAGAGTGCGCCCTCTACCGGAAGGGTGAAGAAACCTCGTTGTTATAGGCCTGGTACTGTGGCACTTCCTGAAATTAGACATTATTAGAAGCCCACTGTACTTTTGATTTGCAAACTTTCCTTCCAGCATCTGGTCCAAGAAATTGCTCAGAACTTCAAACAGATCTGCGCTTCCAGAGTGCAACTACTGGTGCTTTGCAGGAGGCAAGTGAAGCCTACCTGGCTGGCCTTTTGGATAACAACCACCTTTGTGTTATCTATGCCAAACGTGTAACAAGTGTGCCAAAAGACATCCAGCTAGCACACGACATACACAGAAAATATGCTTAAGAATCCACTACGATGGAAAACATTTCATTCTTTAAAAAAAAAATTCTCTTGTTATTGGTAAGTTCCGTACATTATTTTTTTCCCCATGGGGTCAAAAGGTACTAAGTATATGACTACTAGTGGAAACTAGGAGACAGAAATCAGGTATTGGTGGTGTTTCCATTTTCACTTGTGTGTGAATTGTTTTAATATAAATGTGGGACATAGAGCATTAATGCAAGTCAAGATGTTTCAGTAAATAAGTTTCAGCAATTCAACTTTATAACAATATATATAACCCTGTTAAATTTTTATGGACAAGGCCAGCATCTGGATTTTTTTAAAACAAGTAAACTTCTTATTGATAGCAACTAAATGGTGTTTGTAGCATTTTTATCATACAGTAGATTCTATCCATTTACTATACTTTTCTAACTGAGTAGCCCTACATGCAAGTACGTTTTTAATGTTGTCTGTCTTCTGTGCTATTCCTGTAAGTTTGCTATTAAAATAAAAAACAAAAAATAAAAATAAAAGCATGTGGGGAAAGGTGGCTTTTCCAGTTAAATGCACACTTTATAAATTCCTATACCATTCATATCACTAGTTAAAAAACTGGTTCAAAATTTTTGGGAAAAACTGAACTTCAGGTAGAAAGCCAGAGAAAATAACACAATTTCAAGTTCAAGATCGCATTAGCCATTTGTATCAGTCTGTTAATGCCAGTTTTATTAGAAAATAGTATTTATGAGCAATCCCTCATTTGTAGTTAATAATGTATGGCCTGTAGGCTCATGGGGCTCCATCTTGTGGTTTAAAGGGCTCATAATAAATCTGAACTCATCTACTTTACCTAAACAGCAGAGTGCCTTTTTTATCTGAGGCATTAGAGCCAAAAATTAACACCCTTGTTACTCACTTGGCTTCACTGTTAACACGTCTAATTTTAAACTTCTGGAATCTTTTGTAACTTTATTAAAGAACATAAACAATAACCTACCATGGTTTTCTATAGTGTTTTAGCTTCTTTTTCCGATCCTTTCCCCTCTTTCTTGTCGTCTTCACTAGACACTGTTTTGTGTGACAGTACCTCCTCATAAGCCTGAGTCCCCTGACAGCTCAGAGTCAATACAGCAAAGATGTCTGAAGACTGCTCTCTGGACTACACCTGCAAGAGAAAAAGAAAAACAACTTTTCAAAAATGCTCCTTTACAATTAGCTTCATATCTGAATGTGGAACCTATAAACATGTTATCAACAAAAAAGAAACAATCTTTACAACGAAAAACGAACCCATTTCAAACAAAAAGCTAACACATTCTTTGAGGACCTGGGCCCAAGAAAGAGCCTAAGTGATACGGCCAGAAAAGTTAACCTTCCTGGTAGCTGCTAGCCCCTGGCTGACTGGCTCTCAATGAGATACTTTACAAACACAGTGTCATCACCTGAAAAACTAATACTTCTATTGTTAGCAACCATTTTGTGATTAACCTTGAGATTTTTCTATTGGAAATTGGCATTAATCAAACCTATCCAAAAAGTAGATAGGACTCCTGAAAATGTACCACCACCACTGACTATAACCATGGGGCTTTTCAATTTGATATCACCACCAGACAATACATGTTGGTACAATGTTTTTTCTTTGATCATTTTTAGGCCTAAAGTTCAGAATGCTTTTTTGGCTCCGTTCCCCTAACTCCCGAGAGATCCTACTTCTCCCTCAATTGATTAATTCCTGTTATGTCAAACTCCTGAATATCCATTAGGTCCTGACTTCATTACCCATGGATGACTCTGGCCAGGATCCCACGGTATATTTTTGGTCAGAGGTCTGAGCACCCCTCTGTTCCACCTCTATGAGATTTCACTCCAGATAAACAAGCTCTTCTGAGCACTGATGAAATCCTTACACATCATTTTTTTAAAAAAAGGTGGTGGCCAAAATAGGACGCATGCTTTAACTATATGGCTATAAGAAGTAATTTACACACCATAAACTTCCGGCCAAGATGGAGGTGTAGGTAGACATACTGTGCCACCTTGCACAACCAAGAGGAGGACAACAACAATTTAAAAACAAAAAAACAACCAGAATTGACGGAAAATTGAACTATATCGAAGTCCAACAACCAAGGAATTAAAGAAGACATTCTTCCAGACCAGTAAGAGTGGAGTTGGGTAGCTTGCGGCAAAGCAGCAGCTGGGGGACCCAGCGAGGTGGCAGGTTGTGGAACCAGGTTGTCTGGGGAGCCAGACAGACCACACAACCCATGGTCCCAGCGCAGGGAAATAAAGCCTCAAACCACTGATTGAAAACACCTGTGGGGGTTGAGATGGCAGCAGGAGGAACACCCAGCCTCACAGGAGAGTTCGTTGGAGAGACCCACAGGGTCCTAGAATATACACAAGCCCACCCACCTGGGAATCAGCACCAGAAGGGCCCAGTTTGCTTGTGGGAACAGTTTGCTTGTGGAAAGTGGGGGAAGTGACTGAAATCTGGCAGAGAGTAGAGCAAACACCATTGTTCCCTCTCAGACCCCTTCTCCATGAACAACGCCACAACCCAGTGATGTGGGTTACCCTGCCCTGGTGAATACCTAAGGTTCCGCCCCTCACTATGTAACAGGCATGTCGAGACAAAAAAATGGCCCAAAAGAAAGAACAGATCAAAGCTCCAGAAAAAATACAACTAAGTGACAAAGAGAACCAGCCTATCAGATGCACAGTTCAAAACACTGGTAATCAGGATGCTCACAGAATTGGTTGAATTTAGTCATAAATTAGATGAAAAAATGAAGGCTATGCTAAGTGAAATAAATGAAAATGTACAGGGAATCAATAGTGATGAGAAGGAAACTGGGACTCAAATCAATGATGTGGACCAGAAGAAAGAAACATCCAATCAGAAAAGAATGAAGAAACAAGAATTCAAAAAAATGAGGAGAGGCTTAAGAACCTCCAGGACATCTTTAAACGTTCCATCCGAACTATAGGGGTACCAGAAGGAGAAGAGAAAGAGCAACAAGTGGAAAAGTTATTTGAACAAATAATGAAGGAGAACTTCCCCTATCTGGCAAAGGAAATAGACTTCCAGGAAGTCCAGGAAGCTCAGAGTCCCAAACAAGTTGGACCCAAGGAGGAACACACCAAGACACATCATGATTACATTAACCAATATTAAAAATAAGGAGAGAATCCTAGAAGCAGCAAGAGACAAGGAGGCAGTTACCTACAAAGGAGTTCCAACAAGACTGTCAGCTGATTTCTCAAAAGAGATCTTACAGGCAAGAAGGGGCTGGAAAGAAGTATTCCAAGTCATGAAAGGCAAGGACCTACATCCAAGATTGTTCTATCCAGCAAAGCTTTCATTTAGAATGGAAGGGCAGATAAAGTGCTTCCCAGATAAGGTCAAGTTAAAGGAGTTCATCATCACCAAGCCCTTATTATATGAAATATTAAAGGGACTTATCTAAGAAAAAGATAAAAAACATGTACAGTAAAATGACAGTAAACTCACAATTATTAAAAACCACACCTAAAACAAAAACAAAAACAAACTAAGCAAACAACTAGAACAGGAACAGAACCACAGAAATGAAGATCACATGGAGGGGTATCAACAGGGGAGTGGGGGGCAGGGGAAAAAGGTACAGAGAATAAGTAGCATAGATGGTGGGTAGAAAATAGAGCGGGGAAGGGTAAGAATAGTATAGGAAATGTAGAGGCCAAAGAACTTATATGTATGACCCATGGACATGAACTAAAGGGGGGGAACATTGATGGGAGGCAGGGTGTGCAGGGTGGAGGGGAGTGAAGGGGGGGAATGGGACAACTGTAATAGCATAATAAATAAATTTTTTTTTAAATGGGGAAAAAAGAAGTAATTTACACACCACAGAACATACAAACTCACAAACAACAGCTTTCTCTTCATTTCAGTGTCTTTTCTTTAAATTAAACTTCCTTTAAAAAAATTCCTCTTATTCTTTTTTTGTTGCTGTTGTTTGTTTGTAATAGTTTCCTAATACTTTCCAATTAGTCCCTTAAAGAAAAAAAAAACATCCTTTTTTTTTTTTTATTTTGGGGACCAGGAAAGTTACAGGTGTGACATTTAACTCTCCCAAATACTGCAAATGAAAAAGCAGACCCATGATTATAATCAAGTGATACTCATCTGTGACCTACATGCAAAACTCTTCACATCCTGTAACCAGCTCCCCTACTCTGGTTTACAAAATCCACCAGAAACAAGCTCCTAAAGCTTGACTAAAACAAACAGAGTGGGAACTGACTGTTAGTTCAGTTATGTAACTGAACTAACAAGTGGAACTTTGATTATGTGCACATATCACATCCAGGTAAAGCGGGAACGTGTACACGCTACAACTCGCAGGGTCCTTTTACACAACAAAGAAATTAAAACTTGACCCCATGGTATGAGACACCTCAAAGATTCTTCTGTCACTGAAGTTATACATTCTGTAGAAAGATTATACTACACAATTTAGAGTCTGGCATTTTCCGTTCCCAATTCTACTCCATTCTAGGGGATTCAACCATTTAACACTTAGCTGTGAATCCAGCAACCAAAAAAGATTACTACGTGTCCAGGTGAGAACTGAAAACAAAGTCCACAAGCTTCACTCTGAAAAAAGGTAAAGGCAATATATCAACAAACTAAGAAAGTAGACTAAAAGCAGAAAAAGCAGGAAGAATGCTAAAAAAGAGCTGATACAGTGGATAAAGTGTGGATGGCCAAATAAAAGTACAGCACTCTTTCGTCACTTAGCACCCCCTACACATGTAACCACCCTACACATGCACGAAGGATCTCCGGGAACTTCAAGGTGTCATAACACAGTACAGTAAGTAATTCATGATAAAAGCAATGTACCTCAGGATCATGCTCTGTTGGTGCTGGAAAAGGAACTTTGGAATCACCTGGCCCAATTCCACCTACCCTTCAGTTTACAAATGAACTACAATCAGAAATATTAAGGTCACACAACTAATCAGGGACAAGGCCTGGTCCAGACCCAAATCATAACCCAATGCTTCTCTCGATTATATCAATCTAAGAAGAAAAGTTAAATTATATACAGTAGACTGTAATCAAAAAGGAAGAAACTCCAACACATTTTTAAAGTTACTTTATTATTGTTTAATTATAGTTGTCTACATTTTCTCCCCACCACTCCCTGCCCACCCCAGCCAAACCCACCTCCCTCCCATGCTTCCACCCTCCCCCTTGGTTTTGTCCAACACATTTTTTTTAAAGTTTCTATTTTTAAAAATGGACACAATTCTGACCTTCAAATTAAAAACCTCAACTTTGCCACTTTATAGCTATTGTGACCTTGGAAAATTATGACTCAGAAATTCACTTAATTTACTTGAGTCTCAGTTTCCTTTATCTATTCCACTACTAATAGGCAACACTTATGGAATTCATATTCTATACCAGACACTGTTCTAAGAGCTTTTCATACACTGCCTCATTTAATCCTTAAAACAGTGTCAATGACTGTTTCTAACACATTAAGGAAATTGGGAGCTTAAAGAGGTTATATAATGTAATTAAACACACAAAGCAAAAGTATATAGTAGAACCTGGATTCAAACAGACAATCTCTTTTGATATTTTTGCTCTAAAGGCAGTCACACTTTAAAATATAGTTATGTAATTACAAAGGTTGTATAGCAACACATACAGGCTTTGGAGTCAGACATGCCTAGATTCAAGCACAGTCATGCCTCATTTTATTGCACTGTCCTTTATTGTTCTTCACAGATATTGCCTTTTTTACAAACTGAAGACAATCGACAAGCCAGCTGCACTGCCCTGGCAATACCATAGGTTCCGCCCCTTACAACTTAACAGGTGCACTGACATGGGGAGTCAAAGCAGCTCTACCTAAAACACAAAAACACAGGGAGGCTGCCAAAAAGATTACAACTTGCTTTACTGCAATATCCACTTTACTGCAGTGGTCTGGAACTGAATTTGCAGTCTCTGAGGTATGCATGTACCAGCTTTGTTGCTCTACTTTTCAGAGCTGGAGTTTTCTCATCTCACAATGAGATGAATAGTATTTACTTCGAACTAAATGAGACAGATTATAAAAATACCTAAAATTACCTGCCAAATACTATATATTCAATAAA